GACCGAATTCGACAAAAATTGATTTCCTGGCTTTATTAGGCATCAAACCGCATCAAACCCTAATAGAAATTTGTTTCTAAATGCCTCAGGAACCATACTACGTCGTCAAAGTGCCGAAATATTGCACTTTGCATGTGCAGTTGAATTGACATAGGCGGCTTATGTACATATCGCAATGCTGACACAAAATAATTAATTACTCATTACCCGAACATTATTTATGAATTCTTATGATCGAACCATGTACATAATGCATTGCTGACCATTCTTTAATCATAAAAGTTCATAAACTGTGCTCAGAAAGTGAGTAATTAACTATTTTGCATACTGATTGTCGTCTATATTCCTCCTACGCGCCGCCCGCGCATGCTACGGAGGAATAATCACCGAAAAACCATATCCCCGTAGACTTTAATGCAAAATTGAATTTGCTCGCGCTTATGTACTTGACTTTTCAACTTTTTTGTCCACGCTTTTCTCTTGCACCACTCAACCAATTCAACCGGATGACACGGTTGACTATTTTTGCTTTAGCGTGTTTACTCGCTCGCTCAACATTGTTAGGTTAGGCGCGGAGCGCCTAATCAAACAGACCTAGTTTACGTTTTCGTTTAATGGTTACTGCGGTATGTAATCGTAAGCGAAATATACGCGACGCAGGAATATAGTTTCCGTTATTTTTTTCTACCTTTCGAACAGAATATTTCGCTAACGCTGATTCGCGATGCGGCAGCGTCGCGTAACAGCTACGCGAAATTGCACACGATGCTTTGTCGAAGGAATGCGCGTGAAACGAGAGAACGCGACGTGCATAATAGATCGTCGCTTACGAATTTCGCGATTCTTCTTTATCGAGAATAAGAACGAACGTATCATTGATCAATTTCTTTTATTTGCACCTTATAAAAAATATATACGAGATAACGGAACAGAACTATTTTCCGAATGCATTAAACGATAGATCGAGTATCGAGAAATATTCGGTTAGCCACTGTAACACGATATAATACGTATACGGTACGATACGAAAACCAAATAACAAGTAGGAATGCGGTGTACTTAATAATGTTGTGAAGAACAGTGAATCTGTAAAAAGAGAAAAGAAATGGTATCACGATGGTACGCAGGTTCAGTTCACACGCGATCGTTACCTGGCCATTCGTAATTTTGCGTGATTTATCGTACTCGGATCGTCCTTAAAAATGTGTACTCTCAGTCCGCGTACGCATTTGTACATAAAGTCATCCCAGTCAAATTTGTTCATCGAAAATGCGAATAAAGATTGATCTTCCGGACAAAGGCTATCCCAGAGATTCTCGGTATTGCTGTAAGAGAAGTTCCAGTCACGCGTGCCAAAGTAGCTGGTGACCGCGCAAAACTTGTGCAATTTCTTGTACATTTTCAGAAAACTGCAAAACGAAAGACAATAGTAAAAGAAGAAAGGGAAACGGTAGTTAAAATCACCTAGGTTTTCTGCCGACAACTATTCTCGCAGCGTCAACGAGCGTGGCGGGTAGCAGATGGAGAAGCATCGTCAAAAGGAAATACGTGTACGGACTTTTAGCAAGGGTGAAATTGTAGCACCAAACGCTGCGAACGCTCGGAGCTTGTCTCCCGTGTTTCACGGCAAGGTCCATGTATTGTCCCCATGTGATGGCGGTGCCCCACGAAGAGTGGTAATTATAAATAGGTGGATCGTTGTCTCTACGAACGTAACGATCGCACGAAATTGTATACCTTGGTTCCTTCCAAAAAAGTTACCTGCAATGTTTCGTCGCGACCGCCCAAGCGGTAACGATAAGAGCGTTCACGGTGTAATCGGCTGGTACCATTTCGGTGACGCGATCTTTGTCCATGTTCATGGTCCTCAGGAGGCCGATACCGGCTGCTGCGAGAGCGCCGGTCGGACCATAGATATTATCGACCCAACCCTCCGTTGGTTCCTTGTACGTCGAGAGAACTGATCGAAGGAAAAAAGAAACCGACAGCGTGCGACTGCTTAACGCAGCAAACGTTACGACTTTACCTATAGCCGGGCGAAATATTCCAACGGGCAAGTCTTCTCCGTATCGCCGCACCAACTGCTCCGCGATGCACTTGGTGTAAACGTAGGTATTCGGAAAGGCACCGAGCAGCGACTTCGTTCGCTCGTTCAGTTCCTGGTCCGTGAAATTCGCGGCTAATTCCATCGCGTGTTCGGCTGTTAGTAAACACCGATATCCAATATGTCTCTGGCCGTTCACGTACGGCCGCGCACGAAAATTAGGGTATGCCGTTTACTTACCGGGTATGGGAGCAGGGTAAAATTTCTCCTCGATGTCGTTACGAATACAATTGCTGTAGGCGGTTGAAACGTGTATCACAACCTACGCAATACGATTCGAGTTATCAAATTTTACTCGATTTCGATCGATGTGGAATTTACCCGCAAAGCTGGCATGCATTTGCACAGATCCATCAGCTCTTTGGTTCCAGTCACGTTCACCGTGATCGCTTTCTTTAAGTTTTCGTCGAATCGTACGGTGGCCGCTACGTTAAATACCACCGAGACTTCCTGCGTTAACAAATCTGCGTCCGCGGCTGACAAACCCAGACCGGCCAAGGTGCAGTCGCCGGAGATTATCCGAACTTTCTGCCGGAATTTCGGGACCTCCTTCTTCAGACGATCGAACACCTTTTTCGCGTAGCCGAACGCGATTGAATAGAACGTGGTTTTTACAGAGCGAAGCGTCGACTAATTAAATACTTACGGCTTCTTCGAATATTCTTTCGAAACGTTCCTCCGCGGATTCGTCTTCCTTCGACCGCGCCAACGCATAAACGCATTTCATCTCCGTGCACGTTCGAAGCAGTTTTTCGATCAGAAGTTTTCCCAGGAACCCAGTTCCGCCTGTGTGCACACGTTTCCTCGTTTTACCGCATACAGAGAGAGAATATCTCTTTTGTTCGTGGAGATGTATAGACATATTAAACTCGTAAATACGCAGAAAAAGTGATTGGTCGCTAACGCAGTCGCGAATGAAAGCAAAAGAAACATCCGATCGAGATTTACCTGTCACCAACACGCTTTGTCCAGCGTAAAACGTCCGCACGAGCGACGAGTGGTAGTTTATCATTGTTCGCACCTTTTTCACTCGTTCTCTTTACTTCCTTCTTCGTCGTTGCTCTTTTTAAGTTCCAACTGGGTTTAAAATACAACGTAAGCGCGCCAGACAGTCTGTGCGATACTAAACGTTGTTTGCGGTTTTCGTTTGCGACCTTCGCAACGATTCGGGACAATTCGAGATGACCCAAGAGGGACAGTAGAAGGACGCGGAAAAAGGCTGAAGAGAAAGAGACAAGACTCTACTTCGAGAATAACCGGTAGTGGGGATTCATCCCGAAATTCGCGGAATAAGCCGAAATGTTCCGTACGTTTAGATGCGTAGAAAGAGGCAAAAGTTGGAAAACGCGGAAAGTAAACGAGGAAGCGTCAGAAGTTCGATACCGATATGGCACGAAGCGAGAATAACAGTGAAAGGCGCAAAGAATAAATCGAGTATTTCTGTAAAAAATGGAGATAATTTCTCTTTATTACAAATGGAAATGTAAAATACAACAAATGTACAGGTATAAAACACAGTCGAAAGACGGGCGCTGTTCGCGCAGGTAAATGATCGTTCTATAAGAACATTCGTAAGAGAAGGAAAGAAAGAAATACAACAAGAGAGAGAAATGAAAGGGAGCATACAAAAAGTTTTTTTCTTTGTAAAAAAAAAAAAAAACACGTAAACAGAAATAAAAGGAACAGCGGCAAACGATAATCGGTAAACTCGTCTGTTTTTTTTCTTTCGTTTTCGTTCCTTCGAGCTGTTCAGAGGATCGAGATGGAAAGCTAACCGTGCTTTCGATGAAGAATACCAGCACCGAGGGACAAGACGAGCGACGCTCGATTCGTCGGGGCTAACAACGGTCTAACGCGTTTGTGACGCGATGCAACGTTTCTGCGACGACGACGAACACCATTGGCTACGTGAACTTCTCTAAATAACCTCGAAACACGGGTTGAAGCAGGATTAGCCAACATATCCGCAGGAAACCGTAAGCGACGATCAACTTCAACGCTTGATGAATCCAATACAATCTGCGAAACAAAGTATTGATAAAGAAACTCGAACGGTTTCGATGTTCGATACGACGCTTACCTTTGCCATTTAATTCGCGCTTGCGGAAGGCTATCCAGAGGGTCCTTTATCAGATAAATACGAATGCCTTTCACGTACGTTTGGAAGTAGATCTCCCAATTTAATTTGGTGATATCGCAGAAAAATCGCTCGTAATCTTCGGAGGTCATTTTACCAAGCAGCGCTTTAAAGTTCTCGTTCGAAAACTTCCATTCTTTGGTGGCGAAGTAATTGAGCACGTCCATGAACTTGTGTATCTTCCTGTAGATTTTCAGCATTCTTCGGAAAGAGGAAAAACTACGTTATTCGGATACGAAGAAAAAGAGCCGATGGAATCTTAAGATTCATGTGAATGAACGAATCGGCAAACAGGTTGACGATGACAATAACAAATGAGGTTGACCGGAAAGTTACCTTGGTTGTTTTCCTAAGCAGACCGTAACGGAGTCGATCAAGAGCGCCGGTAGCAGATGCAAAAAGTAAACGTAAAATAAGTGCACCATCCTGTGTTTGTTGTTTCGAAAGCTGTAATACCAGATAGCCTTCTCGGTGGGGAATTGGAGTCCGTACTTCTCGGATAAAGATTTCAGCTGCTCGTACGTTACGGGATTATCTTTCGAGACGTAATGGTAAACAGGTATATTCTTCGTTTTTTCTTCCGTGGTAATCATAGACCTATAGAAGAGTGCAAAGTTGTAGAAAAATGCTCGAAGGAGTAATTTTTCTTCTCTTACTTCCTGTTCGCTACGTCCCAGGCGCAAGCGATCAAAGCGTTTATCGTTAAATCGCCGGGTACTACATTGGCCTGTATCGATCCGTCGCAATGAATCGATCGTAAAACTCCAGTACCCGCGCCAGCCGCGACACCGGTCGGTCCGTACATGTTATCGATCCAGCCTCGTGTCGGTTCTCGATACGTCGATATCACTGAAAGTATCGTTTGCTTTAATCGGTGTACTTGAGTTGGGAATTGAGTACTTGGCTTTGATATGTTAAATTTTCGTGAAGGTCGCTTACCGATCGCGGGGCGAAATATTCCAACGGGTAGATCACCAGCCTCCTTCGCGATGACACTTTCGGCTAGCGCTTTAGTGAAGGTGTAGGTGTTTGGCCAAGAGCCCAACAGTCTGTGGAAAAATTCGAATGAATGGCGGGGAACAGTAAAGAGGATTGACCTGCTGAAACGTTCGCTCACCGTGGAGTAATTTCGTCCACTAATTTTTCGTCCATACAATCCACCAGAGTTATCAACTTGTCCGCTTCCATAGGAGGGTCGTACACCTTCTCCTCGATGAAATCGCGAGGACAATTGGCGTACGCGGTTGACACGTGCACGAACGACTGAGGAAAGGGTGTTTGGTCAGTCCAAGCGCAACAGAGCACGTGGATTCGAATGTATTCACCTTCAAGTTCGGCATTTCCTTGCAGAGATGTATTATGTCTTTCGGGCTGCGGACGTTGATCGGCACGGCCAGCTTCATTTTTTCGTCGAACCTGACCGTCGCCGCCACGTGAAAAACGATCGAGACTCGTTGCGTGATCGTCGATCTGTCCACTTCGGATAATCCGAGGCCCGGCTCGGTGCAGTCTCCCGCAACAGCGATGATTTGATGCCTGAACTTCGGATGCTTCTCTCTCAGTTTGTCGAACAGCTAAATAAATAGAAATCGTCATCGTCGTGTTCGAAGGCAACTTCGACGAAGAACCAGAAAGAGTGAAGTAGCAAGGCAAATAGAAAAGAAAGGAGAGAAAGCAGAGAAGTTTAGAGTGTTGAAATCGGAATTACTGGTCGATAGGTCGAGGGAAAGCTAGAACGCGAGACTGTCAGCTGGTAGCCCGTTCGTCGAACTGTTCGATCGAACGGTGAGGAAAATTTGTTCGCCGAGGACCCGGAGCGGCAGGAAAAGAAAAAGAAAGAGAACAGGAAAATTTTACCGGATCATCGAATATTTCCTCGACGCGTTGATGCATGTCCTTCCCTTTCTTCGGACGTATCAACAGGTAGATGAAAGAGATTCCAGGACATTCTCGAAGAAGCTTCTCTACCAGCAACTTGCCCATAAAACCCGTACCGCCGGTCACAAAGATGCCTTGTCCATCGTAAAAGGTCTGAATCGGGCTAAGCTTAGGTTGTTCCATAATCGCTTCGTAATTTCGATCGTAACCGTTCTCCAATACCGTCGTCTCTTGGCTTTGGCCACGCGGTTCCGACAAAACTTCCACCATCGTGTCGATCGTTCGTCGTTCGCAGTTTTCCGCGCGTCGTTTCCGAGACAACGTTTAACAGCTGAAGCAGAGAATAAAACGATATCGCTCCGTATCGCTTAATCGCGCGAAAACGATTGAAAAACCGCTATTTGTTTGCACTACGTCGCGCCACGACAAACCGCGCTATGTTCGTGCTCTCGGGATGGTTCACCGAAGAGAAACCGCGTACCGTCATGAAGTGAAAGTTGATCGTGAACTTGGTCGTCGTGTTTACCGTGTTCCGAATCGATAGACGAACCGACAGATTAGTTAGTACGTACTAACGATCCGACAGACGGTTGCTCTCTTTATAAAGACGGACCGAGTGAAACGCTCGAGATTATTATTACTTTTTTTCTCCGCGTTGCGCTGCGACAGTGAAACCACAGGTGCGTCATTTTCTCGCAAGAACGCGAGCAAAGAAGCGTCAGAAGCCGTTAAACGAGTTCGAAATTATAAGAAAAAGTATCGATGCGTCTCGACGATCCGACGCACGATACTCCGACGCGAAAGCGCGTTTTCTCCCGATCCGTCGATCTCGGTCGCTGGTTAACAGACCTCGTCTTTCCTCTCTATTCCCTCATTTGTACCCTCTCTGCTCCATTAGCTGGCCAACCAACGTGTTCTGACCGAGAACATTGGAACCGATTGCTCCTTGAGTTATCATGTCCTGGAGCAAAGGTTGCAACAACGTCATTACCTCCTCCTTACCGATTCTGCGTTCCTGGCCAACGCATGGTTTTTAGCTATTTTTTTGCGAACGAATCTTGATCGCCATTCGCGATTATAACAGCGTCGCGTTTAGTCGCAGTATGTCGTGCCCGTCACGCGACGCGTAAAGATTAAGTACCGTTTCCGCGCATCGATGCGATCGTTCACCGAAATGGAAACGAAAAGAGAAAACTATGAAAGCGATAACGGGGAAAGTTGAATACGCCGTAGTCCGAGCGAAGTAACGGTACGGATGCTGGGAGAGACACGCTTTTGTGGGCAACGATATCTTCCGTTAAATATTCTAATTCGACGCGAAGAATGTCCGAGCATGAACCGCTACGCGCTTCGACTCTACGTCCACGTACAGCTTTCCAAGTAGTCGCGTTTAACGCGTTGCCGACGAAACGCTTTGTCCACTGGTCGTTCGACGAATACAACACGAACAAAAGAACTCTATCCAAGCGATTCTCCGTCGCGCTCGACACGAATTTTAACGCGAACGCTGCCGACGAATGTTCGACGAAGAAAGTCGCAAGCACCGTCGTGCTACATCCTTTCGATCACAATTTCCGTAGTCGCAATTGAACTCCCGAACCACACGAAATCCGAATTATTCTCGTCCCACTCTTACAAACGATTACGAGGAAATAGATCGATCGATCGAAATTGACACGGTGCGTCCTTGAAGGAAAACAAGGCTGCTGATACCACGCGTCGCACGTCTGTTGTCGTTCGTTCAAACGTGGAACCTTCCACTTCGAGGATCATTCTCGATCGTACACCCCTATCCTTTTCCCAGCACCGTTCTCGATATCGCGATTGTTCGAAGAATCATTGAACTTGTACCGATCGACTTTGAAAGATTCGTGGTTTCGTTGACTGACCTTGTGCTCACGATGAATCGATGAATCGGTGGTGAATCCTTGAATTGGTCACCTGTACCACTTGAAACCGTTGAACGGATTACGCTAACGATGACACGGCTATCGCCGAACGGTCGGACACACGTACGACGACCGATTCAGGGAACGAAGCGAGGCGACGTTTAAACGAGCGGAAGAAGGAACGATCGCTAGGTACAACCTGGAAACTTTCTCCTCGCGCGAATCTACCGATCCTCCTGTTATGCCACCTCGGCTCTTTTGCAAGCGATACACCTCGGAATTGTCACTCGTGCCGTCGTTGCTCTTGCTTTTTCTTTTCTTCTCCTTCTACTCTACTTCTTCTCTTGCCCCTTCCCGTCACCTTTTGACTCTCCTTCTCCTTCCTTGGTTGTCCGATCGCTCTCGACCCCCAGTCAACCACCTCATATTTTTCGTAACGTTCCTTCGCCTCTATTGTCGTAATCGCCATCGTCATTGACGTTGACGTTGTCATCGCCGACGTCCTTTTCTTATTTAGGATATTTATAATTACTCGTTTAATTCTAGTCTCGTGGGTCGCGAAATTTGTCGGAACTCGAAGGATCGGTATGAAAGTTTGATTACGAAGAGGCTAGGACCGAGCTGAAGAAGACGAGACATGCAATCGTTACGTGTGCATCGGGGTTGACGGCAGGTAAAGAAGCAAGAACAAAAGAGGAAGAGTGAAAAAGGATTAGAGTAAAGAGCAAGAGAGAGGTACGCGAAACGTCGAAAACGTTTCAAGGTAGTGTTCGATACGAGTTTCGCGCGCGTTTGCTTTGCACGTGGTTACGCGATACGTTTCGAATCGGACGGAAGAACACAGGTCGTAACTAGATATCTCGGCACGAGTGCCGTTTATCAACGTTTGAGCACGATTCATTTTTGCGGGTATCGCAAAAATCGTTCCTTCGGAATTTAAACATACACGACCGTCGCGGCCAGCCAATATTCTGCCAACGTTGACCGAAACGATTGACACTGCAACCGGACGAGGCCACACGGTCGATTCTTCGAATTCTTCCGTCAACCGTACGCCACTCTTCTCGGTTTCTTCCACCGTACATTTTCTTTGTCGTTCGATCGACCCATCTGATGGATCATCGAATCAAATCATTGGACCGATTTCTTCATTTTCGACAATATTTTATCGAGGATAATTCCCGCGTATATCGACGCTTTTGCAGACCTTGCACTTCATTTATTCTTCGATCGTTTTTTACCTTCAATTTTCTTGCAGTGGAAACTAATGAATCGATTCGTCGAAAGGAAATTAGCAGAGCATAAAAAAGTAAGGCGCACGGAGATAAGTCGTTTCGACTTGTTGACTTTCGATCGAATAGTTCCTTGACGTCAAATAGAAAAATCCTTCTACATTGTTGACACGATAGAGACGTTGACGTAAAGAGCGGGACGTAAAAAAAAGGAGTAAATGATATACTGTTCTAATAGCTTCCAAGTTGCACGTAGCAATTACGTTTTCTGGATGCGAGTGATACGATAATTGTACAAGGATGGCAATTATCAATGTTTTATTTTATTCTGCGTGGTACATTTACTGTATACATTGAATCGTATATTAATCGAATGTACCTACGTCTGTCTGCTGTACACAACATGTACGTTGTACGTAATTATATACGTAATGCGCGTACATCCTACTTTCTTCGGTACAAAAGTGTACTCAACAAGGCGAAAGCATACGAGCGAAATGCGTAGACGAAACGTGAAGGCAAATTTTTATGCAAAGGACGCGAACGAGAAAACAAAAGTTGGCAAATCGCGCGACCAAAAAGTTATCGGAGCGAGGAAGAAAAGAAGGGTTGTTGGGATTCGTTTAGACATTAGGTCATTCGAATCCTAACGTATACTTATAGCGAATCTTACTTTGCAATAGGCAAACGAATTAACGCGATCGTCGTAATGTGTATACGTTGCTAAGTGTTCGATACGTTAATTTGAACATAGCTGCGAGTAAACGCTGCTGTCTTTTATGGTTACCGAGTTCTCTTCGTCGAACGAATAGTCATGTCCGAAGCAGCATGTTTACGCGTACGAACACGCGAGCACCGTATTCTATTTGTTCATTGTGCGCTAGAGGCAATATTTTCTATGACAAAATGTGTCGTCCGTTTGTATTACTGGTATTAGAATCGATGCTGATTAAAAAGTACAAAATGCATGTTGTAATTCTTCATGACATGGATCATGACCTTAATAAGTAGTGTCAACTGAAAATACGGCTTTCAAATATTGTATCAAATATTCCATGTATAGGATGTAAAACTTCTAAATCGTTTAAGGGCGGATATGTTAACGAAAACAAATTACGATAGTTGTCCAAACATTTTCTCGTGTGCGAATAATTATTTAGCGTCCATTATTTTCCTATAATTAAAAATAATTATACAGGTCTGATTTGTACTCGTGAAATGATTAATCATCGCTGTCGTGACTCAGACCCGTCCCTAAAGGATTAGAAATTACACTTACGCTTCACGAACTTTTCAAGTACAAAAACGATCAGCTTTCGCGTGGAACTGATCCTTCGTAGAAAACGTTTGCAAGGGCACTTTAAGCAAGGCACAGAGACGTTCGTTATGTAAGATCATTCTTACAGCTTCAGAGTCTCCAACATAGTTAGGAAGTACATGTATGTATTAATATACACGCGAAAGTTTGTTCTACGCGCGTAGGAACGTGTTCACGCGTATATGTAGGCACGGACCTGTTTGCTCGTACGTGAGTGTGAGAACCATAGGTAAACAGGTGGATCGGGAAGATACTCGCACGCGTGTGTACGCAAAGAAGGCGCGAGAAGAAGGGAGAGGAAAAAGAGAGAGGAAGAGAGTGAGCGGGAGAGAGAAAGGAAGATTTCAAAGAAACAAGAGGGAAGAAGTTACTAAAGGAAGATGGAAGAAATACGCGTGTTTGTACGTCGGCGTACGTACCACAGGCGGAACAAATAAAATGTCAGTTCGAAGTCGATGTTTGCCGAGCGTTTCGTAGAAGACGAGAAAAAAAAGGACTCCGGGAGTTTACCAATGACTACGGACTTGACATTTAAGAGCTACGTCCAGCGTTGATCAGGCAGAAATGATTACGTATCAGTTTTTTTTCGCTGGACATCATCGTTGAACGAAGTCGAAATCGTCACGCTAATACATAGCGGGACGATCTTAGATAATAATCTTGTTCGATGCTATTCGTAGGCCGGTCTAGCAGCGGTAGACTCCCGTTTAAACCATAAGAGTATTCGGAGTTCCAGTCACGATGAAATATATTTTCCAGTTGCTGCCTCAAGTTCTCCGACGTTTGATCACCGATGCTTTCGAACACCGTACCCACACCTAAACGAACGTGTTCAATTTTTGATTAGATCATCAAAATAAAGTGCCTCGTATATCCATCGCAGAGAACGAAACGGGAAACGAAGTGAATAAAATATAAAAGACGGTAATTGCCTGCGGTATTTATGAAATAATCGCCGGACCAGTTGCTCGTCCCTACGTACGCGGTTGTCTCGGTTACCATATACTTGTTGTGATTCACCCTGGCAAACGGTATCTTATCCAACTCCGGATTCGTTGGAACGACGAATCTTCTCTGAAAAAAACGATCGATGAAAACGTGACGCGCTTACGGTGTACGAATTCGAGTAGCAGGTCGCATATCGAACGAAAATATGAGTCGTGAAACGCGGACCATCACCGACCACTTCGATCTTCACGCCCGGGTAACTGTCCGTCAGCTCCACCAGCGATTTCAAGAACGAAATCTCCGACTTCCTAGAATGCTTCCACGAGGAGATCAACAATCGCACTCGAACTTTGCGTTCAATGGCTGCGGTTCTGAGAGCGTCGTCTATTATTGGCCAGTACCTGAATCATGCAACGATAACGGTGACTCGAAGATGAAGATTAAAGAGCAACGAAAATAACGTGCAACGGTGTCTTGCTATTTTTTTCTTCCATCTCTTTTGATCAGCACGTACCTGATTTTAGCGGTGTACACGGTTAGCGGGAAATAGTCCATCACCGCGATGTAAATAAATTTCTCTGCCTTTTCGATGCAATAAAGTATAGCGTCGATATCGTTGGTTCTACCTTTCGACGAAAACGGCGGAGGCGAACTCTGAAACAGGTGAGCAGACACTTAAAATTCGTATATTCAGGTGTACCTTTCCTCCCAATAATAATACAAACTTGCACATTTTTTAATTCCTACATTCTCAAATTTTTAACTCAAGTTTCGAAAACTTCCAAAAAATGAACAAGTCGGAGATCTCTTCTTCCTTGTATTTTCCACAAGGAAACCAGATTTGTTCTTGACTGTACGTGCCAGCTCGCGGTTATCGGTTCGACGCGAGACAAAGCACGCGAGTCTAATCACTTACCGCGATAAAAGTTTTGTACTTGTTATCCATGAACGTGAATTTCATCGGATTCTTTAGATTGATCTTGGTGGTAAACGAGTCCGGCCATACCGCCGGTATTTTACCCTCTTCGCTTACCATCCAGTATACCTGCAACGTTACGAACGACGTGAATCGGATCGATATTCCTAATCTGCGACGATTACGGAACGTCGGACTTACGTCGAAAATCTTGGCGTAATCGTTAGCCAAACAACTGCAATTGAAAACGACTAACCCGAGTTCTTTGACTTGCGTGAGCGATCGCCAATCCATGTTCGCTGACCCGACGTACACGTGCGTTCTGTCGACGATCCATAACTTGGTGTGAAGCACTCCCGCTCCGAGTAACGCCGCGAAGTTCAAACTTTTAACCTACGATCATGGTTTATTTACATGTTTAGCGTTTTAAGAATCTCCGATGATCTTCGTTACCTTGGCGTTGGCCTTTTTTGCCAACAGTTCAATGTCGACGTTCGGATTGATTTGCGAGGGAACGTTCACCGCTATGCTCAGTTGAATGTTCCGATCTCTACCGGCCCGAAGAAGCGAACGGAAGACCTCTTCGCCCTGCAAACGCGGCAACAAACGTAAACACCCATTCTTTGACAAATTCCGATCGATCTTCGATTACCTGTTTCGCGCTATCGTCCGGGTACACGTCTTCTCTTCTCAGAGTCCAATAGAACGACGCTATTTCTATTTTCTCTCGCGCCAACGAGATCAATTTGAGCCACGTGTCGTAAGTGTTTCCGGCGGTAAATACGGTGCCGTTGCTGTAATTCATACCGATCGGTAGACTTTCCACCAGAGACAAGTTGCATCCGTTCATGCAGCTCGAATCGAAGTCGAAACTGGCGTTTTCCGACGCGTACTTGTCCGCGGCATGATCCAACAGCGGTAGTAGAACGACCAACACTATCAGAACCAGTATGACCGTGATCGGAATGCAACTCGGTCTGCACCATCCTTGCGCGCCTCCCCATCTGTTTTCGCGACAAACGCACCGATCAGATTGATCGAAACTTTTCATCTTCTGAAACGAAGTCATCGCGATTGATCATCGATGATCGAACACTAACTTGCCACTCGTCAATGGATCGTCCGCGTCGTTTCTCAGCATAAAGCCAGATTGATCCCACAGTTCAAAATCATCGTCCGCGACGTTACTGTTACCGCTCACTCCTCCGCTAATGGCACTGCCACCGCCACCGTGGCCGCAACTCGACGGATTCAACTCTAATCGTGCGTTCTCAGAAACCGTCTGCAACCAGCGAAATGATCGCGTTTCAAGAGATAACACGAATAATGCGGTACGCGATGGAACACACAAATTGCACGCGTCGATATCGATACGTACGGATAATCTCTGCTTGGTCAGAGTGCTTCTGTTCTTACGATGCGGCAATAAAACGACCACGTTCGGATCTTTGCCTCGCTCCTTCGCGTATTTCGTGTACGATTTCACCGAGGAGCTCGTTCCTTTGTTCGCGGAAGAAGTCGCGAGACCTATCGAGTCTCCGTCTTTGGTGGAACATTTGGAATATGCGATGTTTCTTACGTTGTTGCTTCCGCCGTAAGAAACGTTGTGCGTGTTGTTCACCTTTCAAATATCGCACGATTAATTAACGAACCCGCGATCATTGTCTTCTCTCCCTTCCGTATTTCGTCGTCGATTTCGATTGCAAATTAATCAAGACACAAAGGATTATTTCGAAGAAGGCTTTGACCCAGCCGGGCGGGAAGACCGCGGTTGGGAAACGATAACGAAGAGAGAGTTCGAACGCGCGATAATTTTAAACAACTTACTTGTACCAAGATATGACAAGCTTGCGAGGCTATTTGAAAAAGACCGTCTTGTAAATTTCGTCCACCCTGTTCGCCACTTTCCGATCGAGCGCTCCCTCTCCAAGTGAAAAAAGACATTTCGACGTGATCTTACTAAAATTTCAATACATCCCTGTAAAAGCTGCCTTACACGTATATACGAGTATATTAATATGTCACAGATAGGGATACGGCAATTTCGTAACCTACGAAACGGCGATGCCGCAGTAATTTTGTTGATCGTTGATCGCAATTTGTCGCGACCACCTTTTCGAACGGTTTTTAAACAAGAATCGATTCGACGCAAACGAATCGTTGACCGAATAACTTCGTGCGTGCAAAAAGTTATCGGTGCAACGTGATTGTCAGCGTATAATTTCAGACGTTGCGTCGATTCGAAGATCGGTTGAAAAAACAGTAACAAAGACAGATACGAGAATTGCGGTTTAATCGACAAAGAGCACGAAGAACGCAAAGTCAGACAGAAACATCGATAAAGAAGATTATCAAAAACGTACCGTAACGAAGAAAATGTTCGACGACATTTGTATACGCGTGACGTTCTCTATGCGTCGTGTCCGTCGGCCTACGTACCTGGACCTATCTACCTGCTTGCCAACCTACCAACCTGCCAATCTACCAACCTACCAAACCTACCTATCGACGTATTTTGCGAGGCAACGGCAACGATCGAAAAGTCGCGTTTGTTTCACGACGGACCTGCGCTCAACAACTTTCCGTGACCTACATACACCTTAACTTTTAAAACGCTTTTCCTGCTTCCTTTCTTTCCCGCGATCATTTTGCCGCGATTAGTCGTAATTCTTTTTACCGCTTGGTTTGACGTAATGAAATGAACGGAAAGAACCGATTTTTTGTTTTACTGCCGTAAAAAAGAAGAATCCAGTGAAGAAGAAGGAACGAGGAAAGAGGAATGGAAGGTGAAAAAAGGACGAGGTTGTATGGGACGCACATGCGTACACATATACAATAACGTTATTCATAGTTTGAACGATTGAATGATAATTCTTGTCTCTCAAATATTGGCGATCGACCGGTTGACAACGAAGATATATACATCAACTTTTTAAACGTCTACTATCAAGGTCGACCAGGATCGAAGATGCCATTATAGGATATTTGAAATTCACAAATTTGCTTAATATTCTCATTTATGATCAAAGATTAATGCTCTTTTAATGGCAATACGAAACAAAACCCGTAACAGCTTTACTTCTTCGTCTCGTTTTTTCGTCGCTATTCGAAAGATTGCTCGAAGCGAAAATTTCCTCGTTAAGGGATAAACATTTATGCGGCGAGAAATGATTTATCAGGATAACTATTAGCGAATTGCGAAACACATAATCATAACATCAAGTTAAGGAAAAATAAAGATACGTTACAAAACCAATATATGTACTTATGCACGCGTTTTGCAATATGAATTTAGAATTTGAATTATCTCGAACTGTCACGAACTGTCTCGAATCGAATCGAGTCTTGATTAAATAAACAAGACGCTTCTGTTTAAAATTTATTACGAACAAAGTGCAAGTATCGTCACCGTATTGATATCTCTTAATCATTGTCGCGAGTAATTACGATTCATCGAATATATCTCGATAAATATGTATCTACGATTTACGATAGCATAAATAAACGCATGCGCGGAAGTGTCACATGCACGACACGAGTACGTCGTCTAAACATGGAACGTTCGAAACGCACGTCGAATGATGGTTAGAATGAAACTTTGTCCGCTGAAAATGAATTACCGTCGTCTCGTTTTCAACGCGATATAATTCAGGTGCACGATTAACGCGAGATCACGTGACGAGCAAAGAAATAGCAGCGTGTACTTCCATGCACTTTACGATGCATAAACAAAGAACGAAGAAAGTATACGGTCACTGTAGAAAGTACAATGGCGACACGTTTTCTCGAGCAAAAAAAGTAACAAACTATTCGAACGGAGAAGGAAAACGCTTTCAAAAGTCGAATCGAGTCTATAAAATGTTAAATCACTACGGTACGTTCGATCGTATCTTATTTTTCTCTTTTATTTCCTCGCGTACGAAGTACCTTCCTTTTCCTAATATCATACTATACCTTTCATAGCCCTCTGTCAGGCGTCAGCTCCATTTAGGACGCGTCGTACCGAACCGGATAGAATCGAGAAAGGCCGAACACGGCCGAATCGAATTGTCCACTTTCGCGGGTTTTGCTCGAACGTTGGTAACACTTTTGTCAAAGTTCCTATTTCCTAGTTTCTTTTCGAATTAATACTAGTTCGTTAATGGATTCGTACAGTGTTTACTCAGATTCGCTAAACGCGCGAATATTTCGTCGCGAAATATAATATCTTAATCTCTGTTCGTAGTCGTTTCTCTCGTACTTTTTGTTAAGACAAGATGCACCCGAAGCTACTTCGTGTTAGTTCAACCATCGTTAATATCGCTCTCGAATATATAAATGTTGCAAAGATTTGAACGTATTCGAAAGATTAAAAAACAAACTCGAGTGAAAGGCACAGAAACGTTTCGGTTGGCAAGCCTGACACGAAAGCGCACGAACAGTGGCGATCGCGCGTCGAACGCGCACGTAGGCGTGCATAGTGCATACAGGCGTTCTCGGCGGGGTCTGGTCGTACGTAGAAATAGTCGGAGCGGCGTTCCGCTCGCCGTCCATCGGTCGCCGCCATTGTTTCCATAGGCGAGCGAGCAAACGAGTAAACGAAAGAATAGACTCGAACATGCTAAAAGGGTGCACGGTGATACATCGTCGGATCTAGTCGGATCCGTGCAGTCGGAACGCGTGAAAATTGCAATAGAACGCGTTCGATCGTTCGGTCGTTTTAGCTGACCGAGAGATAACGTTGACGAATCGACGAACCGTTTAGTGTACGGTGACACGAGACGTAAAAAGACGTTTCGGAAGAAATCTTGCATCGAACGGTGTCGTACACACGCTGTTGTTCGAGCGGTGGTGGTGTACACACGGTGATAGTGATGGTGATGGTGACGGTGGTGTCGGTGTCGGTGATGGTAAAAAGAGCGGTGCGTTGGCCCTTTGTGTTCCGCTCGACGAATCCTGTTCTTTCGGTAGAAAGGTCGGTTGCATCGAGCGCGTTCCTTTGACCAGATCGAGCCGACCGCCTGGAAACGAGTTCGAGTCGAGAAAATTCTTTCGTTGACCCTGAAAATTGTTGTTCGCATGCCGACAGAACAGTGTCCGCGATCGCTAATCGTTCGGGGTAATTACGCGATCGGGCAGCATCGGAGACGTCCTGAAATTCTGACGGGCCGTTTCAGTAACGCGAAAGCGTTATTTTTCTCAACGCGACAACCTCCGAGCTTCGATCGCGAAACGTTATGTGATACTTTTTGGTGTTTCGCGGTCGCTCTGCCTCACGGTCATCTTCCATTCTGCGATGCCGAACGCGAAAAGGTTAGTTTCCATTGACAACGATGACTGATCGAACCGATGCAAAGTCGAATCACCGACAGTGAACTACGCTTTCGCTACAGAGCGTATCTCGATATCGAGTAAATAGGTAGACTCGCTGAGAATCGAATTCGATTCGTTTGATCGTTGTTACGTCAATTGTGAACGCTGGTCGATTCTCGGCGCGATCGAAAGCGCCGGTTTTCCGCTGTTCGTCCTTCGTCCTCGACAGGACGCGTAACAATTAAAATTCGAGAAAAACCACGGTATCGATCGGCGCGTTAATTTTGCGAGCAAATTAAAAAGAAAGAAAAAAGATAGCCGGGTACGGGTAGAACAGAGAGGGTTGGGTGTAGGGGTGGCGGAGGAGGTGGAGGAAGAGGAAGAGAAGGAGGGTTAAACTCATCGGGCACGAGTTTGACGTTTAGAAGCGCGGCGATGCGCCGATTCGTAGTTATCCGCGCATCGCTCGAACGAAAGAACTGATAGTAAGTACACGAGGCTCGCGGTAAAGGGAGAACACGTTGAACGACACGAATCGAGACACGTGTACTTCGTTGAATAATGTACGCCGTCGAGTCGTCGGACGTTTTCTTCGTAGGTATATTTCGCGACTATTTCGAATCCGGTTACTTTTATCATCACCATCAATCGGGACGAACGCGTTTTCTTGTTTGATTGGTGCCGTATCGCGATTACTGGCCCGCGATGCGTGAATCGTATAAACGAGATAGCATCAAATTCGTGATACGTTAATCGTCAAACGAACAATTTTATGGTAAAAACTGGTAAATCAACGATCGTCGATAACACCGTTTCTTTTCCGAATCGATAAATTCCGCGATTAAATTGTGATTCATTTCGCGATCGAAAAAAGGCTGTGGCGGTGTTCAACGCACCGAATAAAAACGAACAAAGTATTGTCTCGAAGCTTGACATTTTTCGAGCACACGTATAGAATAACTCGTAACGTTTTGCCGTATATTTCAGGATGTTGGGACTGGATTCCGTTTCACGGCAAATACGAAGCGTTTGTCAACCAACAACGATGCTGATACTGTTCATTTTATCGTTGGGTGACATACCCTCGATAAACGGTAAGTACGCGTTCGAGAAAAGTAACGAAAACGTTCGATGAAGATTCGCATCGCGATCGGTAGATTATCGTGCATCCAAATGTACGCCGTTTTCGTTTCGTTACGGAATGAAAATGAGGTACGAGCTATCGGTTTTCATTCGGAACGAGCGGAAGGCGCGAAAGCGGAACGACGTACGACGGTAGAGAAATGATTTTAGGTTCTTGCGAGTTTCCAAGTGCTTGGACCGGAGAATGGTTTCAGTATGGAAAACCGGTAACGATCAGCGTGAACACGACCGTCTTGGGCGAAAGGACGTGCGTGGAACGATCGGAACAATCGTACATCGTTTAGTAAGTATTTCCACGAAAACGAGCCTCGAAACGATCGAGAAAGAACTAAGCCGTAACGAGATCATTGTACTTTCAGCGGCGACAATTGTTATCATTGCATAATCGTGAACGACCGACACGAAAACGTGATCCAGTTTCGCGAAGGTTAGTCGAGAGATTTTTAGATTTTTAATAGGAAGCTCCCGTCACTAATGTTCTCTCGATTTCTTTTGGTCAGGCTGGTGCCAACAGGATCATACGAATTTAGAGGAGATGTGCATGAACATCAAGTCTGACGATACTCTGTATTCGATGTTTCGCGTGAATTCCAAACCGATACCGTGTCCATTCAGCGGGCCGTCTTTTACCTTCACCTACGACAAAGGATACGGCGAGTGCTCGATGCCTATTAGCCTCGGCGAGAAATGTACCGACGAGAGCAAATTGCTTCTCAAGTATCAAGCGTGCCCGGACGTCGAGAGAAGCGAAAGTAACAGTGAGTGTTCTCGTCCGTTAAATGCAGCGAGTTTCTCGACGTTCCTACGTTTCAACGGTTTTTCTTTATTTTCAGCGGAAGAGTTACAGTGTCTCGCCATATGGAACGACGGCCGTAACAAATACCTCGTTGGAACGTTGAAAGGAAGAAGCGTGTCTGGCGCCGAAAAAACTTACAGGTACGCGTTTACTTTGAGCCGGTGAGCCGGCTTCTCGATCACCGTCAATTCGATCTCCGTGTTATTTTATCTGACCGTTCGAACAGATGTTTCTTGTACGAGGAGAAGACGCATCATCAAGGAAAAGTGGTGTATCTGCTTGCTCAATCCGGCGAACCGACATGCAACGGCCTAACCACGGTTTCCGAGGGATCGCCTACGATAAAGCTGACGAAAGGTATCGGAACATGGTTTGTTTTTCGTTTCGTTTTTGTCAATTTCATCGGGATGAATTTCGAGAGTTTTCTTCTTCTTGATTCGCAGTCGATAAAGAGCACAACAGATGCAAATATCCTTCGTGGATCACCGAGCATCACGATTGGCATTCTCTGGACGGTACTAAAGTTTATCATTTTACCAACAAGAACGCGACGCTCAAAATCAAAGTACAAAATTCCGAGGAGGACGCGTTTCACGAGGAGAAGATCGTTTGCCATAATCTGGAAAAATTGCATCCGACGGATAACGCGCAAGGATACAAAGTAAAATTGATCGCTCACGTAACCAGCGGTTGGTAAGTATCGTAATTTATAAGGATAGCCTCGTGAAATACGAAGAAACTTTTAGGCGATAGACTCATAAAATCGATCGAACGTTGCAGCGACATTGGTTACGTTTGCATGATATTCCACAAAAGGGACCATCACGTTATAGAACTGCAGCAATCGGGTAAGTGTTCGATGTACCTCTCGTTCAAATTGTTCTCTTTTTCCTTCCTATTGTCTCTCGTCGTTCTCTTTTATCGTTTCACTCGATGTGATCGATCTTTTGTAGACCAAAAAGCTATAATGCCGGACGACGCGTGTTCTCTCGTGGATACATCTACGATGCCGTACACCACGTTGATAAGTAAGTGACAACTACTCGACCAATGACGTTCGACCGACAACCATAACGATCGTGGATTAATTTTTATCGTACAGGCTCGTCGTTGCGTCAACGAAAGTGTCCTAATCCCGGGCGATACATGATTCTGGGATTTGCCCCGTTCCATTTGCCTAACGCGTCGTTTCGCCAACAGCAGCGTCGTAGCGAGAAACGATCTTCGAGGATCACTAAACGAAGAACTTGGCACGACGATGCAACGCGGAAGGAATCGCGTGAACATCAGCCGCTACAGCGCGAACACGAACGCGAGCACCCACACGAACACGACCAACAGCACCATCATCATCATCATCATCGTCAGCACGGAGGAGAACTACAGCAATCGCAATACGGCGAACAGTGTAGGAGTAGCAGCGTTCGCATAGGTTGCGCTTCGTCGGATCAAAGCGAGATCGTCGTTGGAAAAACGTGCGATAGCGAAGAAACAGGTAGGTATTTTTCTCGAGGAAGACGATTTTGGAATTGCTGAGAAGCAATACGCGTGAACCGTACGTTCTGTTGCAGCGTATTATTGCCACGGCAGTTGGGAGGAGAAAGGTACTTGGTACACGATAGCGTCGCTGAAAACCGATCAGACTTTGCCGGGTCCAGGACAAACCTTTTGCTTTTCTATGCGACGCGACGACACCGAAGGAAAATCGTCGGTAACCGGCAAAACCGTTCGAACGAAACACCCTGAACAGGAGCTTTGGTTCGCGAGATTCGATCGCGTTTGTCGGACGGAACAAACTGAAGATGGACGCACTTACACGCTCGTCGATCAAGGTATAGCAAAGCTATTATTTCTGTTACTTCTTCGTTTTTCCTTCGAGCGAAACCGATTAAACGACCGTATCGATACAGACGCATCAATGTGATTGTCGTAGTCGCGTTTGTGTCGACTCGGTCAGCCGCGATAACCGTCTTCGCATCGGGGTCAATAATCGTAGGTTGCACGAGCTCGTTATCAAACATTCGAGCTGACGCGGAAACGATACGAACATCGCGTTTTCTTTGTTTCAGGAGTGTGCGAAGACGTAACGAAGGCAGCTTCCAGCTTGGCGTCGCTCTTTTCCCTGTCTCGAATTCTGTTCCTTGGAACGGTGGGAAATTGCGCAGCTGTTTACATGCTTCTGTTCAGATGATATGCGAATTTCAAGTGAAACAAAATCAATGCCCGCGATAGGATCGCGTGCGTTTCGCCGGTTACGCGAAACGAACAGAGAACAAGGCTGCTAAACCCCTCTGACGATCCTTTAGTGTTTTCGCAAGGATCGAGACCAAAAACGAGCGGTTCGAATCGGACGATCGATTTGCATCGTCCGTAAGAAAGGAGTTGCGATCAATCATCCGTTCGACCAAATATTTTTCAATTTTTCCTTATTCGATCGACGATCGTTGCGTTTTACGTTTTCCCCTTCCATTTTGTCTTCGTTTTTTTACACTTTTTTTTACAACCCTCGATAAAAGAAAATAATTCGCGTTCCTATTTTTTTATCTTTATTCCCTGCTTCCGTTCGCGTTTGTATTTTATTCTTTTTCATTCGCTTCTCGAGTCTTTCAACGATACGTTCGATGTCGTTTTGCTTTTGCGATTACCTATTACCGCTAACTACTACTATCACTACTACTAGTATTAGTACTGCTGCAGCTGCTACTATTACTACTACTACTATTATTAATACTACCGCAACAACTACCTAATGCGACTACTACTATCCGTTTCGACGCAACTAGAGACGTACTTAGATTTTAGAGTTTAAGTCTCACGCCCGTCCGTTTCGTACGATGGTCGATGGATTTTTGTCCGATAATATCTATATATCTATATCCTGTGAATTTGTACATTTGCACTCGTATTTTTTATATAAACGTATGTTAAAGAAGAGAATCGGAGCGTTACGTTTGTTAACGTGCCGGGTAACCGCAAACGTTAGTTTGAAAGTTAAGAATACGAACAACGATACCTCGATCGTTTTCGCGAAAATAAACGTGAACGAAGCACGACGTATACCTATAATATATATATATACACACACATATATATGTATATTATCGATCGACGGAATACCGTGCACCCGCAGCTTTTGTAAATATAAGCAGGGTATAACGAGTCAAGACCATGTTCGATCTCGATCTCGAGTGAAATCGATATAATCCTATAACTATAAATTCGATTAATGTAACGCGTAACAATTACGGATAAGAGGATAAGAGAATAATTTTTACGACTCTTAACCAGCTACACTTTGTACATAACGAATTAAGCGCTGTATAAAGAAGACTGTTTTTAAAAGAGTATAAAGTTTTCCACTTACGATCGCGTTTCATCGTCGAGGCGCGAAGGAAGCAGCTATACCGTATCGAGGTCATTGGACGCTAACGTAATTATGATCAAAATTGAACGGCAACGTATACTCGAATTACGCGTTTACGAATTTCCTTTTACTTTCGTTTCCTTTCGATTACACGAACGCGTTAAATATGCCTAACGCGAAAATATCGTTTCTATTCGAACTCTTGAATCGTTTTCTCGCAACAAAACGATATCGCTGTCCATTAGCCTCGTTGCATTCTACGACTATTTGTTATCCTCGAACAGCAGAAAACGGCAAAGACGTATGACTGTGCTGAATTTGAAATCAAGAAACACGCGCGTACATACACACACACACACACACACTAACAAGAACACACACGCACACATTGGCACACGGTGACAAGCGATACACAAGATATTTTATAAAGAATCGAGACTGTTCCGGAAATCATATAAATAGAATATACGTGTACGACGATGCGTTGGTTCTAATCCGTAAGATAGGCAAATTTTTAATATCGAGATAAATTGTTATTTTTATACGCATAAAACTATTGTTCCCAGTGTGAATCTTATTCGCTCCGTCGCTCCTCAACTTACTTATCTATTGGAAATTCTCTTCTCCCCGATTTATTTTACGATCCGCCCTACGTTCCTTCTCGGTAGGTATATTTCTACGCGACGCATATTGTATTTTCTACTTTCCGATAGATAGGAAGGATCACGCGCTTAGCCGCGCGTCCGAACAAAATTCCAACGGAATATCGTTGGATTCGTTTCTTTTTTCGTTGTTCTCGGTTTTTCCGAATTCGCGTCGGTACGTGGCTCGTTAACGACGAGAAAATTACTGTGATCGTCGTTGCGGGACAAGTGCCGACGTATCGCGCGAATCGATTAAGTAGACCGTCGCGTTTCGCGTAATGTTCCTGCAGTTTGTACGCTATAAGAATCGAAGAAAGCCGAATAATAGATAAGCGGTTGATATCGGCGATAGGATGGGACGCACGAATACGCGTGATTCGGACAATGCTGGAATTCTGATCGACCACCAAGATATCGTGCTGGTATGCGTGCGCTATTTCCTTTTACGCCGTGTACGTTGCGAGAACGAATGTATTTACGAACCGATGCGTGGATCCTAGGAGAATCGATAAATGCGTGAACGCGCGTTACAACGGCGCATAGTATTATTTCTTTACGATAACGTTACGATGCGAACATCCTTAACAACGACAACCACAACGACGACGACGACAACGAGGACAGCGACGACAACGACGATGACGCAAAATGATGTGCGGTTTAAAGTATAGTAGCATTTAAGAAAATTCGCGCGTTACTTGTCTCGAACATGTTCCATCGAAAATGTACCGATCGTACAATAAATGTTGCGAAGCGAGAGTGCACAAAACACGAAGGTCGTTTCGATCGCGTTCAGAAGCGGTATGCTAACCGTTTGATACGTATTCGTACGATCCGATCGTTTCTTTCCGATTGAAACAACCGTGTACGAACGCAACCGTTGCGTTGACCGTTCGAGAGATAACGAAACGAACGTAAAGCGTCGCGAAGAAAACCGTTGTTCGCCTGGAAATAAAGGAATTGGTGTCGCGACACTGTTTCTAGAGAACATTTATTCCAACCCCACTATATTTTTATTTCTACTACTTTCGTTCTTATTATTACTGCTATTATAAGAGTATGTGCAGAAATTAGTCCACGAAGATTTCCCAGCTGATATTACGAGGGAGGAAAGGTACGAAACGTAGTTCGATGACGGAAAGGAATTCAATGTAGAAAATTCGTCGACGGTTTATAGTATCAATTTCTCAGTGATCCCTTTCCGTAATCCTACTTTGAGCCTCGAGTCGTTTCGGACGGGAGGCATCGCGAAAGTTGTGCCATCGGTGATGGAATCGGAAGGGTGAAGATTTGGTCGTTGACGCGGCGTGGCGCGGACGCACGTGGAGCACGTTGGATCGATAGGTGAGCCGTCGGTGTTTTGACAAAGCGGTCGATCAACTCGCGTATGCTTCGGGTCAGAGAGTACGAAGAGAGCGCGCGACCTACGATGATAATCGATTCCTATCGCTCCGTCTCTGTCCATGTCGGTTCATCTTTTCCCAGCTCTCGACGCGCCTCCTCCGCGACGAATAAAAGGAAAAACGGCCCTTTCCTTTCGCTCGAGAAAGCGAAATACGCAAAGGTGCAAAGTAGAACGACGAAAGAAACAGAATGTAGGGCAAAGGTGAACGAGAGGTGAACGATACTACGACGTGGCACCTAGCTCATAGGTCGTAGGAAACGGTCGCGCATCTGCGCAGATGTTCTTCGGATTTACGAGGTTCGATAATTTGTCAGGAATACGACGACGGTGATATAGAGTCGTATCTTTGCAGCCGCTATGGAATTCGCTCGACGCGACGTTTTGGGTACAATCCCGACATCGATCGAACTGCCGTGTCGTACCGCGTCGCATCGTTCCGCGAGATCATCGTTACATTTTTCCTTCCAAGCTTGCCGTTTATTTAGAAAAATAAAGTTCGAGCTCGATCGATTGGCCGTAGGTGGCTGGCCCAGCAGCGTAAACTAGGCCGTGCTGCGTACGATGTTCGATCGATTCGAGTCGATAGGACAGGGACCGTTCGACGTTGTCTAGCTTGTGGACACTATCATAGTTTACTTCTGGTAGCGCCGCGATACTTGGGTCACGATAGTTGTAGCAGAGAAAAGGGAAGGAAAATCGCGAAGCGATGTTCATAGAGAAAAACGAACAGAGACTCGGAGACGAAATAATAAAGGGGTAACTTGACTCGCTGGTCGAAAGAAAAGGTGGAGGAGGTTCAGGGGAAGGGTTAAGCGAGATAACGGAAAGAGCAGGAACACTAGCTAGGAGGATAAGGGCAGGTATAGGTTGCGACGGTGCTGCTAGTTTGGTAGTTTTACCCCTTGGGGTAAACGCGCGCAAGCGCCAGCGTTCTTTCCCGATGCTCGTTCGCACTCCACACTCCACGCCAGTAATCCGTGAAACGCGAACGTACGAGGTGCTGTTTTGCCCGAGAGATCGTAGGTATCTGGCGTAAATCTAGTTTTTTTACTGGCTTCGATGTCGCGACTCGCGTCGAATAATTTCAAACAATGTTTACCCCCTTCCGCTTTGCCGGATTTCCATCGGTTGCGTACCGTCGCGTACCGTCCCGTATCATCCTGTCCCGTTCCATTCCGTTCCATTCGATCGGCCACGATTCGTTCTTTTTCTCTACGTTCGTTAACTCGTCGTCCTTTTCCGCGTTCTCTTACGCGTTTGTGACATTCGCGACGAGAAACAAACTGGTTTGTTTTTCGCGTTCACGATTTGACGTGGTTGCACGAACCGTAACACGCGCACGCTCGTCCCTCGTGTCGCGTATCGTGGAACGGCGATCACCCCCTGACAATCGACTCGACCGATCACCCGAAAACGATCCGAAAACGCTCGAGTCGCGATTACCTCCTCGTTGCATTTTCCCGTCCATCGCGAGCATCGTTTACCTCTGTTCTCCATAGCCTCGGTTCGATCACCTTCGAATATTTTGATTCGCGACGCATCTCGTCTCGACGATAATGCAGCGATTCTCGTTGATACGACGATCGACCAAAGACGAGTAAAACTAGCAAACCGCTATCGATCCGAACGCGTCGTTGCTGGATAGCATTTCGTGCATCGGTGAACGGGAAAAGGTCCGCAGGCGATTGGATCGCTGGCGACGATCAGTTTTCGATCGAACGTAGCTTTGGGTCCCGTTCGCTTCCACGAGCAAAGCATCGTTTTCGACGCGCGAAGCGTCGTTGCTCGATCACGTGACAACCACCCCGTGTACCGTGTCCACGCGTTTCCTATTTCTCGTTTCCCCTTTTCTCGTGTCCCGTTTCCCATTTCCGTTTCCGACGCGAATCAGACCGTCCGGCTCGCGCGATGGAGCCAACTTGGTATTGTTTCGATTCGCAGACGCAAATCGACGACGATCGAACAGAAGCGACGAACCTCCGTTGGAAGCGAAACGAGACGGCAGATACGAAGCAGAATGAGGAGAAGAGAGCGCGCACGGCTCGGCGAAACGGCCAAAAGAGTCGATGCGAAACTCGATTAAAGTTTTATCGAACGGCCGAATTTTGGTTTTGCCGTGTCGTTTCTTGGTCCGCGATGCTCGAGAGGAGAAAACGGTACGCGACGCGTTCGTAAGCGTTCACGGCACGATTCTCGGCGATCCGTGCCGCTTATCGCGCAGAGGGAGAACAGGAAACAGAAGAGGAAAAGGAAAAAGGAAGACGAGGTAGCGGTAGGAGGGGGAATCGAAGAGCAGCGGATCGAGATAGAGAGAGGAGGATAAGAAGAAGATCGAGAAACACGAGTGGAAGAAAGGCGAGAGGTGGCATCGCTGGGATCGTATAAAAGAGCCTCGTGACGGAGGGGCTTCGTACGGCCCTGGCGCGACTGCGGCATTGCACCCCCACAGGGGGTTCTCTGCCAAACACACCGAATCCGCCCTCCACCCCAGAGCACAGAAACCACGTGAGTACGCGATAGACAGTGTCAGGGAGAAATAGAGGGAAGGGAAAGAGGGATTAGAGAATAGAGAAGCGTCGAGAGGAGAGGAGAATCGAGAGGAGAGGAGAGGAGAGATCGAAAGAGAGCGAGATCGATCGGTCGATCGGTGATTTGCCGGTATATTGCGAACAGGGATGTCTGGCGGATGGTCGCGGATCAGCCGGTCGTAAGAAGGAGGGTAATTCACGGGGCAATGGGACCGATTCGGCAACGAGGGCCGAGTCGCAGCAGCCGCAGTCGCAGTCACAGCCGCATTTGCAGTCGCAGTCGCAGTCGGCGTCGCAGTCGCAGTCGCAATCGCAATCGCAATCGCAATCGCAGACTTCTCGTAACAACAACGGCGGCGGTTCCCATCGACACAATGGGGCAGAAAATTCGCGGGAAACCGATCTGCTGTCTCACGCTGCCTCGGCGCTTCGCAGGCTGCACTTTAAATCCGCCGGCGGTAGTCGAAGTTGTCGCACCGTCCCGAAGGTCGTGGTCATGGGGTCGAGCACCGCCTCCGAGACTACCATCAACACCAGCACCGATAGCGCCAACACGATGCTAACTATGGTAAATCGGTCGATAATCGATACGAACAGCTTCGAGAGCGAGAACCAAAATCCGAAATTCGTAGGTGACGACAACGGATGGAGAACAACCGGACGACAGTTTCGATCTGATGGACATCCCGTCGGAGATGTCTCCTCCCGCTCCGTCGTCGACGGTCCCAACGACCGACTCCGAACCGATTCCTCCGCCACCACCGTTGCCACCCTCACCGCCGGCACAACCTAACCAGTCTTCGTTCTCGCAACCGGTCGAGTATTCGACCGACGACGAGAAAAGACTCGGCGAGACGGTTGGATCGACGTCGAACGGTGCCATTTTCAAATCGATATCGGACACCGATAACGGCCGGCTCGATACTCGTGCCTCGAGCGTCGCCAATCTCCTCGACGAGACCGTCACCCTTCCGGTCGTCGACGCGATACCCAACAGCGAGACGAGGTCGGTCTCCGGGAGAACTCCGCCGCTTCCGGACCTACGAGCGACCGATTTCTTTAGGTTCGTATTAGCTGTAACGGTTCGCGAACGGGGAACAGGGAAAATAAATGATCTTTGGTTCGTTTTTGTCGCGTGTTTCGCAGCACACCCGTAAGAGGTTCGGTGGACGCCGGCCAACCGAATTCGAGCGATTCGAATCCGATGCTGAGGTTGGTCGTCGGCAGGAACAGGGAGGATAACAATCGATCGAGCGATCGAACGAGCAATGCCGTGTCGGGAGAGGCGAAACAAGGAAAGCCGAGCGTGAACGTGACGACGAATCCCCTAGAGGGATTAGAGAATAGAGAAGCGTCGAGAGGAGAGGAGAATCGAGAGGAGAGGAGAGGAGAGATCGAAAGAGAGCGAGATCGATCGGTCGATCGGTGATTTGCCGGTATATTGCGAACAGGGATGTCTGGCGGATGGTCGCGGATCAGCCGGTCGTAAGAAGGAGGGTAATTCACGGGGCAATGGGACCGATTCGGCAACGAGGGCCGAGTCGCAGCAGCCGCAGTCGCAGTCACAGCCGCATTTGCAGTCGCAGTCGCAGTCGGCGTCGCAGTCGCAGTCGCAATCGCAATCGCAATCGCAATCGCAGACTTCTCGTAACAACAACGGCGGCGGTTCCCATCGACACAATGGGGCAGAAAATTCGCGGGAAACCGATCTGCTGTCTCACGCTGCCTCGGCGCTTCGCAGGCTGCACTTTAAATCCGCCGGCGGTAGTCGAAGTTGTCGCACCGTCCCGAAGGTCGTGGTCATGGGGTCGAGCACCGCCTCCGAGACTACCATCAACACCAGCACCGATAGCGCCAACACGATGCTAACTATGGTAAATCGGTCGATAATCGATACGAACAGCTTCGAGAGCGAGAACCAAAATCCGAAATTCGTAGGTGACGACAACGGATGGAGAACAACCGGACGACAGTTTCGATCTGATGGACATCCCGTCGGAGATGTCTCCTCCCGCTCCGTCGTCGACGGTCCCAACGACCGACTCCGAACCGATTCCTCCGCCACCACCGTTGCCACCCTCACCGCCGGCACAACCTAACCAGTCTTCGTTCTCGCAACCGGTCGAGTATTCGACCGACGACGAGAAAAGACTCGGCGAGACGGTTGGATCGACGTCGAACGGTGCCATTTTCAAATCGATATCGGACACCGATAACGGCCGGCTCGATACTCGTGCCTCGAGCGTCGCCAATCTCCTCGACGAGACCGTCACCCTTCCGGTCGTCGACGCGATACCCAACAGCGAGACGAGGTCGGTCTCCGGGAGAACTCCGCCGCTTCCGGACCTACGAGCGACCGATTTCTTTAGGTTCGTATTAGCTGTAACGGTTCGCGAACGGGGAACAGGGAAAATAAATGATCTTTGGTTCGTTTTTGTCGCGTGTTTCGCAGCACACCCGTAAGAGGTTCGGTGGACGCCGGCCAACCGAATTCGAGCGATTCGAATCCGATGCTGAGGTTGGTCGTCGGCAGGAACAGGGAGGATAACAATCGATCGAGCGATCGAACGAGCAATGCCGTGTCGGGAGAGGCGAAACAAGGAAAGCCGAGCGTGAACGTGACGACGAATCCCCTGGACGTGTCGCTGATGGGAACGACGACGACGCGGACGAGCAACGATCGATCGTCCGACGGTCCAGGTAGGACCGGTAACGGCAAATCTCGAGGAAAGTCGAGCGGTGAGTCGGGACGATACGATACGATCAATCTTTACCCCTGCACCGACGTACGTACGTAGTTTGCCGGTCGTCGACGTCGTTCGCTGAATCTTCGAAAAGATAGACGAAAGCGAAGCGCGCGTCCGGTCGGGTAATAGATAGGAATTACGAACCGACGAAACGCGAAAAAACACCAGAGCCACGTAGAACAGACCGATTTGAAAGCTGTTCTCGTTAAGAAAATCAATGTTATTGTTTTCTTTCAGAATCGCATCCCCTCGTTTCAACCATTCATTCATGGGTCAGGCTCTTTTTCCCGTTTTGCGCAATAGGTATTAAAGTTGATTGTGCTCGAGTTGCGTTAAGAGAGCGAAATCGAGGGATCCTCGAATTCGATCGAACGGAAGAAAGGAAGAAAATCTATACGCGTACGGCCGCTTACTGAATTTTCTTTTGCGTCGTCGATTCGTTCGATCGGATCGACGATCTCCCGATTCGTGCCGGACAAATTATAGAGATCGCGGAACGAACGCGCACCTTACACGCACGCGTGCCTTTTCTCTCGTATCCTGTCCGCTCGCGTTTGCTCGCGTTCGCTCGCGAGTAGATTGTCCCTCGCTCGATGCGTTCTCCACTTCCTTTCCATCCTCCCTTTTCTTCCGTTTCTTGCTTACGTTCTTACGATCATGTAAAAGTTCTCTCTCTCTCTCTCTCTCTCTCTCTCTGTTTTTCTCTTTTCCGTGCCTCGGATCGATTTTTACTTTCGCTCGCAAGCCGGAGTGTCACGGGTAAAAATAAAACCGCGCGAAAACCGGTGATATCTGTCCAGAAGAGGAGAGAAGAAGAGAGGAGAGGAAAGTCATCGTCGATCATCGACCGCAAACCTATCCGTCGTTGCATCGCTCTGTTATGTACTATTACTACTAATACCACCACTATTACTGTTATCGTTTCGGAACTCGAGAAGCTCTCGGATTTCGATAGGCTGGAACGCATGTTTCGCCAACTTCCACTATTTTTGCCGATTTTTAGTAAGACTAACGTAGTTAACAACGCTTCGTTCGCCACCGGTAGCTTCCAACGAATTACCGCCCCTAACGACACTCTGCTTTTCTCTCGTTCTCGGTCAACTCTGATCGTTGTCTTCCTTTCGTCGACCCTTCGTCATCCCTCATTTCCGATCGCTTCGATTCGTCCATCGTTCGTTCAGCTTCCTCTGCGTTCCGCGTTTACCCCGTGTTTCGTTTTCCGTCTCCGTACAATCTCACCCCTCGTCGAACGACATTTATCCCTGTTACGGTATCCGTTTCGAATCGGCTCGATCGATACTCCCGACCGAGCGTGCAAATCGAGCCTGTCTAAAGATACCCGGTTTCCCGAAATATCGACGAAAGGAGGAAAGTATGCGCGGATATACGGTTGATGGAATAACGCGTGATCGACGCCGACAAGAGAAAGAGAAAATTTCTGTACGATCGTTAATTTGGTGGGTGGTTGGAACGGGCGGTAATTCTGTTTGGAAAGACGCACGCGTATGTGTCCGAAGCTTAACGCTATAGAACAGAGAAAAAGGACTCTCCGACATCGCGCGTTCCTCGATTCGACGATCGGAAATCGAATCGAGTTGGCAACGAGTTGAAAGATCTAAAAGGAAAGAAAGAGGAATCGATTCGATGATCGGAAGTCTTTCGAGGAACGGCGTAAACCGTGATCGGCACGGAGAAAGATAGAGCGCGTGTGTGCGTGTATGGAGAAACGTGTAAATCCAAGGAGATAACGAAGGTTTGCTTTGTAATGCTAAAAAGGAGGCAACGCGAGCGGAAATAAGAGATCGACGCAAGCGGCAACGATCGTGGTTCAACAACCGTCGCTGTCGTTGGACGGTTCGGCCGGCGCCGCCACGATACTGTTACATCCGGAGCTGGACGTCAGGCGTCGAGAAGAAAACATGAGGCAACTGTTGGACGTGGCGAACACGCTGACGCTACAGGAAATACACGACTTCGAGATGAGGTTCGTTCGTTGACGCAAAGACCTCGTAGCGTATGTACCGATTACTCGATCGTTGCTCTGATCGTAGATACGGTAGTCCTCATCACAGTCGGTCCCAATCGGTGAAGACTCCCGGTAGCCGTTCGTCGGGCAGGGCGAATTATCTGTGTCTTCCGCAGCAGAGGTCGAGGGTGGCGAGCATGCCGAACACCGGCGTCGAGGAGGAGTACTACAGGCTCCGACATTTCAGCATAACCGGTAAAGGGGTGGTGAATCGAGGGGACTCGTTGAAAAGTCGGAGATCTCGATCCAACAATAGCGTCGCTTCGAGCAATTCGAGGTGAGACTTTGCCGTTCTCCCGATGATTCGCGCGAAACTCGTGTCTGGCGGCGGTGACGCGGCGGCGACGCGGCGCGGCCAAGCGCGAACCCACCTTTTAGTAGGCTAGCCTCGAAACGGGACAAGGAGGATCGAAATGGCCGAAGAAAGAAGGAACACGAGCCTGTTCGGAAGGAGAGGAGGGTTTTAGGATACGAAAATTCCGCTCGGAAACACGGTTCTACTCTAAATCGAACGCGTGAGTTTACGTGTAGCATAAGCGTTCAAGCGACGTAGACGCACGTGTTGGACTTTAGAACAGGATCCAGGCGCCGCGACGTCGAAAGAAAGGCGCACGAGTACCTCTCGAAGGCGGCGTCACTCTGCCCGTCGTCGATCACCGCCGATTCGTTCGTCGAGGTATCGATCGGGAATAAAAAATAGATTATCCGCGCGGCCGAAGTAGAAAATCCCCGAGTACGAAAGCGTGTGCGAGAGAAATTGAACGAATAGAAAGGGGAGGGTACCGAAAGGTTAGAGAGTGCGGGAGAGAAAGAGAGGGAGAGAGCGGTTAAAGAAAACGGGGGATCGATCAACGGTCCGATCGATTCTTAGGAGTTCGCCATTATTTTGGCCGTTCGCGTCGATCGGACACGTACCTATGTACATAGATACTCGTGTACAGCAGTGACGTACTTCTTTTTTTCTTTCTTGTTCTTCTTTCGTGCTTTTGTCGCTTACTTTCACTTGGCGTGGCAATTAACGGCGGTGCAGCACGGAACATTTGACCGCTTCGTATCCTGGCTCGGCGAGGAATTCCGCGGCGGGCTCGTTGGCCAGCTCTCGCGAGAGCAGCGCTTCTCAGGGACCAACGCCGTACCGCGTGCTCATGCTGGGAGCTCCGGCCGTAGGGAAAAGCTCGCTCGTTTCCCAATTCATGACCTCCGAGTATCTTCACGCTTACGACACTTCGATCGGTAAGCGTTCGTTCAAACGAGTAAGTCTCCCTCTTTATTTCGCGTTCTTTTTCCCTTTCGCTCCCTTACTACCGATCACGGTCCGATGTTTTCTCTTGCAGACGACGAGTCGGGAGAGAAAACGGTCAGCGTGTTGTTGGCCGGAGAAGAATCCGAGCTGACCTTTATCGATCACTCTTGCGCCGAGATGACGGTAAGAATCGTTGAAAAGGCGATCGTTATTTTCTCGTTCGTACCTGCGGCTAATCGCGCAGCTCGAGGGTGGCCGACGCTCGACGGACCAACGACGAGCGCGCGATAGCGGTAAGGTTGATCGAGAAGACGAGGCAGAGCGTAAAAAGAGGGAAGACGAGCGAAAAGGAGAAACGAAAAGGGATCCGGTCGAGCGCGCAACGTCGATCGGTAAGCGTCAAACGCGTTAGTCGAGGTTACCGAGTCATTTCGAGCAGAACGCGATTGACGAGCAGCGAACCGTAACGAACGATCGGTCGAGCGTGAAACGGTTTAGCGATCGATCGACCGACGTCGACTGTCCACCTTGCGCGCCACCTTCCTTACGAGAACGAGCGATCCTTTTTCGCTTCCCGTGATCGCGATCGATCTCGGTTACACTCAGTTACCGCCGATCGTTCGATACCCCGAGGTTTTTTTCTCTTTCTCTTTCGTTTGCAGCCAGAGAGTTGCATAGCCGCGTACGAACCGCACGCGTACTGTGTCGTCTATTCGACGACCGATCGAGCCTCGGTACGAGTCGCCGAGGAGGTTCTGCAGACTCTTTGGCGGAGCGATTACGTATCGGCCAGAGGGGTGATCCTCGTTGGGAACAAAGTCGACCTCGTTCGCAGTCGATTGGTTTCGACCGAAGGTAAGAGGCAAGCGGATCGGTCCTTGATCAAACCCCGAACTTGGGACTAGCCGTTGCTTCTAGCGGATAATCTTGCCACCTCGTACCAGTCGTCGATTATACTCCTCGTTACAATCGCGTAATCGTACACCTTTTCGTTACAGAAGGAAAATCTATGGCTACGTCGTACGATTGCAAGTTCATCGAGACGTCCGTTGGAATCAATCACAACGTCGATGAACTTCTCGTCGGCTTGCTGACGCAGATTCGCTTGAAGCTCGAGAACCCCGAACGAACGAGGGACCTATTTCGGAAAAGATCGCGAAAGAATCGTAGCAAATCGCCTTTAGGATCTTGCTCCGAAAATAATTCGCCGAAAAAGTATCGAGGTAGTCGTACGAGTACCAGTTTGAAGGTACGAAATTTATTGGGTAAAGTGTGGGCGAGGGACAGCAAGTCCAAGAGTTGCGAAAATTTACACGTCCTTTAATTTCCTCGACGAGAACGAAACACGACGCTTTTGTTCTTTAAAGTTTCCTCTCGATCGAATCTCCTTGTCCCCTCTCTTCGCTCCCTGCCGGAAAATAGACATCCGTCTTTCGTTTCGTTCCTCTTCCTTTCTTTTCTCTGTTCTTTCTTCGCCCTTTCTCGATCGCGCATCGCACGTCGTGCATCTTCGTGTTCTTACTACTAATTCCATGCAAGTAAGTACTACGGTCGCGCCGAAACAGAGATCGTTTATCGAGCAAACTCTTTTTCGTCGTCGTTGCTTCTAGCTTCGACGAGAACAGAGACAGGGGAGAACACCATTCAACGACAATTTACGTCCTCGCGAAACATAGAAAATTTACGGGGAAAATGGTAGCCGTACTTTGACGCGTTTAATCGTATTACGTAGCCATTAGCTTATGCAGCCAACAACTTGGAACGTTCGATCGAACCGTTGCGAAGTAACTCCGTTAAACGACGTAACGGCACAAACTTACGCGGACACGATAACTCGTGTACAGAAAGACGCGTCGACAAACGGTGACGATCTATGCTCGAAATTCGTTCCGATCTACAGAACGAACGCAAATTATCGGAAAACGAGGAAAGGAAAAGAAATGAAATTTCTTTATTTCGAATTCGCGTTTGAGAGACTAAAAATTACGATCGTAGGAACATCGCACATTCCCCCACTGTATTTTCTTCTTCCTCAATTTTTAGTTCGATCCTGCCAATTTTATATCCCCCATTTTTTCTCGCGTCGTGATACGATCCTTTTATCGATCTCTTCTCTTTCCGCATGCTCGATGTATCGCCGTTCCATCGTGTACGATATCTAAACGCGAATTATTACGTAAATGAACCTTGTTCTCCGAAATCGTGTAGACCGACGCGTATTTGGTTAGCCAAACAGTAGATTAAGCGTATGACGGACGTAGGTACGCTGTATGCAGAAGAACTCACGCGAGAGTAATGACGTTTCGGATTTCGCCGATTATTCGTATCTTCCAATGGCTGTATCGTTAGGCCGATCCTCGAATCGAACGCAATCGAGAACAAACGGTAGCAACGTTTGTCGCCTTACTCGATTCGTCGTGTCTACTCGGCCGATAAAAATACCAAGAGCGAACGAAGGGAAGGAAAGAAGAGAAGCGAAAAAGACCGAAAAAGCAAGAAGAAGAGGTAGACCGACGCAGGGAGGATAAAAAGAAAAGAAAGAAAAGTAGGGGACAAGTAGAAGAGAGGAAGAGGTAAAGACGGAATAAAGTTTTTAATAGTGCCACGTTACGTTTCGTAACTCGTTGCAATTTTGTTAAGAATTTACGCGAAATCGAACTCTCGTGCAACGAAATCGATCTCCTTCCAAACTCGCGCCGATATACATAGAATAGGAGATCGTTAAAAAAAATGCGGAACTATAAGATAAATTCGTAGGCAATTTTGTTGTTCGCGTTGCAAGTAAGCTGGATTCGGGAAGACTGTCCAGCGAATCGTTGTTACTCGTCGAGCATTTGTATCTCGGTCTTAAAAGTTATTTAACGTAATAATTACCCGTCCACCGAGTACGAGAAAGCTTCAACGAGCCGAATTCGTTCGTGAACCGATTCATAGAAACAACACCGTCGGCAGTTCGATTAACGATTTCGAAGTTGACCATCCATCGATCGCCGTGATTCTACCCGTGCGATTTGCGATTAAAATTGCCTGTTAATCGACGACGAGCAGCCGGTGTTCTCGCACATGTTTACGTACAGATCTGTGTACTCACGGTAGCACAATGTACAATGTACGATATCAGTGGGCAAAGAAAAACGTGGCAAACTTTACATCTGTTTTCTTCTGGAAGAAAACTCGCTCGAGCACCTTATTTCTCTCTTCTGACTTTGCTCTCGATGCATGCTCTCTTTTTCTCTCTTTTTCTCTCTTTCAACGGAACCTGTCTTCTGCTCTTCTCTTGATCAAAGGCAAGGGCAGCGACATTAAACGCGAACAAACTAAGAAGAAAATCGAGAAACAACAGACAGGGCCACGTAATCGAAAGGACCAATTCGATAGGGAATAAAACGCGCGAAATGGAAGAAAAGGGTAGAAGCGATAGAAAAAAGCGAAAACATAATAGAAAAAAAAAAAATAAATAAAAAAAGAAGAAACGATTCACGTTCCGAGGAAAAAAAGTACGATGTTCGGTACGATGATCATCCGTCCATCTATGTAAACTTCCGAGCATCTTTCGTGAACGATAATCGACTTTAATCGGAAGCTCCTCGAAGCCAAAGAGCTTTCCTCGAAGGAGCCGAACACCGTCTCTTTAAACGAAACAGACCTCGCTTCGAGATTGAAAATCTCGATGAATTTGCGAGTAAACGTACGAGAGTATCTTTTTCGTGGGGTATCTCCTCTTTGAACGCGTCGCGGAGGTATTCACGCGGCCAGAGAGATACACCGACGAATACCCACATTGCGGACCACAGCCTACCGATTAGGCAATTTTCTTCGATCGATGTTATATATAAATATATATATACAACTATATATACACACGGACGCGCGCGCGCGCGTACATACACGTAATACATACACACACGTACATACACACTGACACGCGCAAAATTCATATGTACACGCGTATATAATGTATCCCTGTACCTGTGTGCGTAGTAAAACCGCGCCGATTTTATTGTCTTTTCTCGTTAGTACATCAAACATCGTTGTTCGCGCATTGATCTTTATTATCGGAAATGATTTTCTATTCGATATCGGATTAGGACACGCCAAAAAGACGGTGTTCCAAAACGGTCCTGATTCTTACGCATTCGCGGATCACGGATCATTCTTCGTTTCTATTTGTATTTCTATATCTGTACGTACATCCAATACAACTGGAGAAAACGACCGTTTCGTCGACGATTGCCTCGTGTCCTTTTCCATACGTTTTTAAAGATACACGCTATATTCACCGTCGCGTTCCTTCCATTATTCCTGTCCACATTTATTCACCGTTTAACCTCATTCTTTTATATATACATATTTTAATATCGGGAATGACTAAGATAGTCTATAATTGCATCGTCGGCATCGAGTAGAAAATTGATTTCTATACAGCGTACAAACGAGGCGAAAGACAACGGTGTAAAAACGGTGAAATAAAGACGCGCCCTATTCAACTTACACACTTGTTTACTCTTTCTTTACGATTACATTTTCTTTTCGCTCTAACATTGACCCCTTTCCCGCTCTTTAATAGCAAAATGCTTTGGTGTAAGAAGTCCTCGCAAATACATACCGATAAAACGCAGCGGTGACAATTATAGAAAGATTTAGTTATTTATAACGACGTCTTACCGCGTGCACGTTCGTATGCGTTTTTATCGCGTCATACTTATCCTCTGATCAAGTAACCCATATCGTCTGATATCATCGTTTTATCTAGTACCGCAAATTGCGAACGAATATTTTTGTTTCGAATTTAAAAGTTCGATGGTCGACAAACAATCGATTTGTTTCGTCCACTCGAAACTCACGGTTCGATACTTACCGATACTTACCGATTTTCATTTTGTTTTATGTTTATTCGTGAAAAGTGTCATCGTGTCGTCAGAAATTGTCACGACGTTTCGTAAACACTCGTAAACAGATAAATTAGATACAACTGTGCTAAAACGATTACGTATATTATAGAGTATAGAGTATAGAGTATTAATAGTTTGCTGCCGAGCCGAGATGTCATAGTCGTCTGTATATAGAACTAACCTATACGTTCCTCGAACGACGGATACGTTCAAAGTGTCCTCGAATAATTTTTGATTTTCGGACTGGATCGAACAGGTTTTCGTTGAACGAGATTTAGCACGAGGGAATAAAGTCAACGACGAGCATCGTGATGATCGTCTAAAGACAGATTAATTGTATGTTACGCGATCATCCTCAAGGATGTTGTTCGGTTTTCGCGAGTAAGAGTACGCAAGTTTTAGCGTTTTTTCGCTAAAGTTGAACAATGCGATCAAAGTGGACTAGATATCGTGACGAGTGTTTCCGATTCTTACAATATCGTATTTTCTCATTCTCCAAAGTACGAGTCAAATTGAGTTGACGAAGGAAAAAAACAACTCGTAAGGAGAACATTTTTTTTGCTTTCTTTAGTATCCCTCTCATTATATCACGTTTTGTAAATCACCGCGTTTTATTCGATATACCCAAAGTTTCCCTGATTTGGGTTCCTTTTTCTTAACAATCATGTCAAAGTCAGATGCACCAAAGTATGTAACGGCGCTTTATTCCTTTAAAGGAAAAAACAATGATGAGGTACGTTTAATCTTCCTTCGTGTCTTATTATACTCTGTAACAAAGTGCTGATGCTTTTGGACATTTATATATTTCTTGGTATATTTCCAGCTGTGTTTCAAAAAAGGAGATGTGATTACTATAACCCAAACCGACGATGAAGGTTGGTGGGAGGGTACATTGTACGACAAAACAGGCTGGTTTCCGTCCAATTACGTCAAAGAATGCAGAGTTCCAGGTATTGATTTTGCTATTTGTAACTGATTTTAAAGGTTCCGATGTTCGGTAAAACTCGTTACCGTGCTTATCGTTGCTCAAAGACTGTGGCGTTTCGACCGTTAAGGCTTCCCCGGAAAAGATACCACAAGAGTCCCCTACTCACCAGAAACTTAATCGCGATATCGTTCTAAAAGATGTGGTAGATTCTGAGAGAGTAAATGTAGCCGAGTTGCAGGGTCTGATAAATAGCTTTTTACATCCTTTGGAATCTGCAAACATGTAAGTATGCAAGATACGTGTTACGCATGGTATTAAAAGCAAAGTATTTTATGATATATTTGTTTAAATTCAGATTGAACAAAGACGAGTATAAGCAATTATTAGGTAATATACACGAAATCATGGAAGTTCATCAACGATTGTTAAATAGTTTAGAAACAACAATAGCCCAAGGTAGTGCTTCGAGGGTTGGAAATCTTTTTCTAACCCTAGCTCCAAAGTTAAAATCTATACATGTGGCATACTGTGGAAACCATCCACGGGCTGTCTGCATTCTAGACCGATATAGGTATGTAATTAGGGTAATTTGTAAAATCATCAGCGTTCTGTAACGATATTATTTTCAGGGACGAATTGAACGATTTTATGGAACGTAGCGGAGCGATTTCGCCCGGTATATTAGTATTGACGACCGGTTTAAGCAAACCTTTTCGGAGATTGGACAAGTATTCTGCTATGCTTCAAGAATTAGAGAGGTATACGGAAAAGAATCACCCCGATAGAGGCGATACGCAACGCAGCATAGCCGTGTATAGAGAAATAGCGGTGTGTCGTCGATCTCATCAATTGGTCTACACCCAAGTTAATCCTTCTAAAAGTGTGATTAAAATTCTTCGTTTCCTTTCGCGTAGGATCGATGCGCGTCCATACGAAAACAACGAGAGTTAGCGTTGCAAGTGTTAACTAGTGGCATCAAAGGATGGGAAGGAGAAGAGTTAAATTCGCTCGGAGAAATTGTCTATGTTGGATCCGTCGTTTTAGCAAATGGAACAAACGGGCTAGATCGCCGAGACAGATATTTCGTTCTTTTCCCTACGACACTTTTGGTGCTCAGTGCCAGCCCCAGGATGAGTTCTTTCGTCTACGAAGTACATACATTGAAATCCTTTCCGCGTTATTTCTTGTCACACACACGCTGCTTTCTTTTGTAGGGGAAGCTTCCGTTAACGGGTATCAGTATTACTCGGAAAGAGGATACGGACGAAATAAGGAACGCTTTCGAAATTACAGGTAAAGTTGAGATAACGACGAATGTTTCTATCCCTTCTTCTCCACTTATTGAACAAAAACTGTTTCCTAATTCAGGACCAATGATCGAGAGCATACTCGTGCTGTGCGCCACTAAGGAAGAACGACAACGTTGGATCGAACTTTTGATTCAAGAACAAACAGCGAACAACAGTCTCGTGAAATCGCCTACGACTTCACGCGTGAGTTATCTACCCCCATACGCTCGTCTGTCGAGATATTTTGCAAAGTTAGTCAAGAAAAAGATTATACGTCCCGAGCTGCTGAAGAGATTGCTTTATTTGCAATACGTTCTGAAGCCCGACACGAGTAGCGTGAAAATGCGAAAAGCCAGTGTTACGACTTATGTTCTGTATCCGATACGAGCAGCTAGCGGAGAACACGACTCGAATAGTTCCGAAACGGATAGTTTCGAAAGAGCCGAACAGGTCGAGGAACGGTCTCCAGTCGGAACGATGACATTACGTAAATCCAGCTTAACTCTCGACGTGAAATACGCGTTTGACAATATCGATCTTAGCACCGTAGGGATAACAAAAGATAGTTCGTTGAGAGGATCAACGTCGAAGTCGAATATGCTGGCTAGTATTCAGGAAACTAGTCAAAGTTTACCCGTTTCTGTTTTCGATTCTGCCGCTGACACTTCGATGGAAGCCAACGACGTAAACGAAGACGTCAATGGTCGATCGCGCCTCGTCGATACTTTTCCTTCTTCGTTCCCGATCGCTCGTAACGCGAAGGAACGCGCGAACACCTTAGTCGCGGACAACAATCGTTTTTGGAAGAACAAAGGACGCGTCCAAGAGGAGCCTATCGCCGCTACTCCCGTGGAACATCGTCCGATCGTTTTCGCGCGCAACTCGAACACCGAACACCGATTTCGAACGTCGTCTACTCGTCGGAACATCGAGCTCGATTCTCACGCGAATCTCAGCGTCGATTCTTTGGATTCAGGCATGGACGAAAGTTATCGTCTGAATTCGTCCGAGATCAATTCGTCTTGTAAATCGTACGCTTGCATCGGTAACAAGCGCAATGGCGAAAGTCCCGCAAGAAATTCTTTCGGCGAAAGCGAGAACGACGAAGTTCAGTTCGAGTGTCAGTGCATTTGCACCTCTCCGTTCGATTCGACTCCCAGAGATAGCGCTCACCTATCAGATTTGTCGAGAAACGTTGACAATGTCTCGGATGCTTCGATTCGTGACACGACTACTTCAAAAGTAGACGATTCTACCCACCGTAAATGCGACCTCGACGAAACGCAACTAGCGGAAAACGCGGTATCCGTAATTTCGGATAAGTTTGAGCGTACAGCGCAGCGAAGGTTTACGCAACCGATACCGTACGCGCATCAGACTGCCACCATAAGAAAAGTTGGAAGAAAACCGATCCAGCCGGGTGGTCCAGTCGTTGAGAACGATTGTACTGGAACGAGCGAGATCTATACGTCGGGATTGTACGTCCATTGGTGGTTGAAGAAGTCTATACCGTTCCCTGGATGCACGGAACAAGGCAAGCTTCCATAGCATGGCTGTTTTCTTTTTCTCGTTCAGTTAACGTTTCCGTCCTTTTAACTACTAATTCTACCTTATCGCGTATAACGAGCGTACGCTTTCGTTCCACAGCCATGTTGTGCGAAGTAAGCTTTCGCTTTGCTAACGTCGACGCGAATCACGACCACTCCGATCGAAACCAATCATCCATGTATATCGTTTCGAAATCGTAGACAAGTAGTTTAGTCGTTACATGTTTTTCGCTTTTAGCATATAAGACACGACGTAACAGAGCATGTTCTCGAGATATTGTTTCTCCTTTATGTTTACCGCGACATATAGTTTTATTTTTACTTTATATCGTTATTCGTTTAATTCGTGTTCTCTTTCATTCGTTAGATCTCCAGTCAACAGAACGGGAAACAACAACAGCAGTCGCAACCACCGCAACAACAACAGCAACAACAGCAACGGCCGACCGCGGAGCATTGCACTCCCGTAGGAATTAGAATGCCGTGGAGCATTGCCTCGTTACGACCAGCACCTCCTCTGTATACTGTCAGAGCATTTGGTAAAACTGATACCAGTTTGGATTTATCACGCGCACCACGACCGCGTAGTACGAATTTAAACTTTAAAACCGGACTCTCGAGATTAGTACGAACAACAAGAATAACGTATTTTCTTGTTTGTAGACGAAAAACAATTCGAAGAGGATGCCATTATATTGAAGGTGATCGAGGCGTATTGTCTCTCTGTCAATGCTAGATTTACCGTGCACTCTGGAGAGTCGACTCGTAGGTTATCGATTACGTAGATTAACGTTTCCCGAATGAAAATAATTTTCATCTCATAGTAACGTTGCTTCGTGTGTTGTATTTGTATTTTAGCAACGTTGGAATACGATTCTCATAAATCGCGTGACAGGACGTCTTTGATGCATAACAGAGGGAATTTGGATTTATGTAGCAACAGGTAAAAACGTGTTTTATATAGTAATCGTTGGATCATACGAGGATACAACAAATACTGACGAGTATGTTCATCGCGTGTGTGTGTATAGGGCACTGTCGGAAACCGTGAAAACGTTGAAAAATCAAATGACAGATTTACAGTCGCAGATGTCGCTTTTGACGAAACAACTCGACGAAGAACGAAGATCGCGACTGTCTCTAGCGGCTACGGTGAAGCGTAGCATGGGTGTCGTTGATGGATCCGTGCCTTGAATCGCTCGAGTTTGTATTTCGCGTTAAAACTTATCTTCTTTTTCTGTAAATTGTTCTTCGTACCGTCCCAATAACGATCATCGAAAGACGAATAAATAAACTTTCGAAAAAAACTTGCTTCAATCTTTCATTCGTGTTTTACAGTACACCGAGGTAGTACAATGAGCATTATAAGATATCGATGCTCGACGAATCGAGTCGGTACGCGTATTCAATAATATAAACGAAAAAACAGATACGCGACACACGAGATCACCGTGAAACCTTCAAATCCATTAATCAGAATATCGTGGTAAACGATTCACCGGTGAAATTATTCGACACGTTCATCTTGGTTTGTTTTTGATCAGTTCCAATTCGTTTACTCTGCTTCGTGCGTGTTCTAACCTATGCCAGGCCATTTGTAGAACCTTCTGACTAGCGTACCCGGATCCCTCGTGTGGTTGACCTGAGAAGTAATCGAACTCAATATCGAAAAGGAGATATGAAAATTATTCGTTTACCTGTCGAAACTTGAGTCAAATAGTTGATTTGTTCGCTCAACTTAGATTCCACGTGACCAAGCGTTTTCAAAAATTGCTGGGTCTGTGCTTCGGCTTGTTTCAAGCTAGACTTTTCTTTGCTTAGTTCTACGAAAGCTTGGCCTACGACATAACGAGAAAAGAAACGGTACAAACATACGAACGTGTCATATTCGTTTCGAACGACAGCAGCGTCTATTACCTGCGCTTTGTAGACACACGATGATATCTTTCTCGATAGTTTCCAAGATTTGTATTCTTTCCATAGGGGGCGTCATCGTGACTCGACGTCGAAAATTATGTCGTACGTAAGTGCGTGCTTTCGTAGCACGTCAATTTAATTCGAAACGAATAGTGCACGTATTAGCGAGAAGAACGGGAGAAAAGTCGTCGAGAAATCGTACTATATGCAGGAGCACTAAAGACCACGATCTGTCCGCTTAACCGAAGTTGATCGACTTGAATCGAAAATGGCCGAAACGCGGCGCTGGTTACCACTTTGCGTCGTTTAAAATTTGCATTTAAATTTCTTAGCGGAAAAAGAGGACATATGAGATTCTTTTTTCGTAAACGTCGCATACGATTCAAGGTTATTTCTTGGTCGACAACATCGAGTGTGGCGAGGACGAGAACTGCGTCAGTAAAGAAAAAAAAAGAAAACGAGATCGATTCTATCGTGTATCGTTTCGCGCGTATAAATTTACGGTTAAGGGGGCGCTGAATAACTTCGTAGAGAATGAATAAATTCGAAAAGATAAAACAGCGAGAATGGAACGTTATAAAATTATAAGTTGTAAAGGAATATAAAAGAAAAGCGTTGAAAGGAAGAGTGCGAGGAAGAAAGACGAAAGAGGAAATCAACCGACGAGGACCGTGTCGTCATCGAGGAATCTGTATTCGGGTATTTCCATGTTCGTGGGCGCTGGTCCCTTGCGTATGCGTCCAGATGCATCGAAATGGGAACCGTGGCACGGACAAAAAAAACCACCGGGTATGATACCGGCATTGGGGACGGGTACGCAGCCGAGATGCGTACAAATGCCCACTACGATCAACCATTCTGGTTTTTTCGTTCTTTCATCGTCCGATTGAGGATCTCTCAGCTCCGAGACATTTACCTGTTGCTCTTGATCGATCATCGACTGTGGACTAAAATATTCGATGCTCGATTACGAGGTTCGACAACCGAAAATTCCTGACGTCTCACCGGTGATAAACGAAGATTGGTTTTCCCCGCCACTTGAGAACCGACACTTTTCCAACAGTTATGCCTTGCAAACTAATTTCTATTTGCGCTTCCGCGAGAACTTCTCGCGAAGGGGCCATAAACATGACATAATGCAACAAGTGAGATTTGAATCCGTACATTCCAGCGACGCTACCAACTAGCGAACAAATAATATTTCCCATTGTTTTTTGGGATACTTAGACAACTATTTTCAGCGATATTTTGAAAAACGTACCGAAAGATGCCGCATAAGTTGCGGCTCTTCGTTCGTCGATGCTTTTCCTCGCTGATACGTTCGGGTCTTTTAATTTTTTCCTACGATATTCTTGAAAGTTGACTTTCGGCAAGTCGGTGTGCGCGCAGCGACTATTCGCCGAACATAACGGCGATCGCAGCAACGCGAGACAACGCATCGACGTTTCAATGCGAGACATTTTTCTGATCTTCGGTCAAAGGCAGAGCGGAAACACGGGCTAGCCGTTTCTGTCGTTGTGGCAACGGTTCGCGATTGTTCGGGAAACGATTTACCGATAGAGCGCGAGGAGTAGTACTTAAAAAACTTTTCCGCTCAATGATACGTGACACCGATAGCACACGTATTGCCTATGGAAACACTTGAACGGCGATTCTTGCGAGATACGGTCTATCGCGACACTGATTTTCGATATCTCTGTTCGACTTTCAACGACTTTTTCTGCACCTGGCAGCTGACGAAACAGGAAAAGAACACATTCGATAATGATCAATTTATTCGGATAGATCAGGCAGTACAAAGTTTTTCATCATTCCGGGATAAAGTTGATTCCCAATATACCGATAAGGCTGTACGATAGTCATGCCCGAAAAGACGATAGACAGAAAAGTTCTGTTATCGCCCGACTCGTATTATAAAACATTAAGGTCTATCATTTTTGTCTCTGGTAAAGTCTCGAGCATACAAGCCGAAAGTAAGAAGATTTTTGGTCGGTCTATTTAAAGCGATGCTGACACTAGTTTGATCGCCGTGCGTGCGCTCCGTGTAAGAGAATCGTTGAATAGGAAGCAGCGAGTAATCGAGTACATCTGGCATTATTAAAAGCTTCGAAAAATCGTTGTACGTTGCGGTGATATTCAAAACGGTGAAGGTGGTGTCCGATGAACGGGGAAAACCGCAGGAATCCATCGAACCCTTGTAGCATTGCACGACACTGCACACGCGAACACCGGCGTGGACGTCTTGGCCGTACAGACGGACTCCGTCGTAAACGATCGCTCGATAATTAATTTGCGAATCGGCGGGACCGTTCGTGCGAACGTCGAAATTGCAACAAAAGTCTCCGTAGCAAAGCTTTTCGGTCATCGAAGCATTGAGCAGTACGGAATCGTAGTTCGTAAGGTTATCGTGCAGTAGCCGTATCGAGCCGAGCTCTTTTGGTTGAACCTCGTTTTGCTCTCTCGACTCGCTCGACTCGCTAGACTCGCTCGACTCGCTCGACTCGCTCGATTCGCTCGATTTGCTTAATTCGTTCCTCTTCGGAACGCGAGCAATCAACAGCCGATGTGCGGGAGAAGCGGTCATCGTGGCAACGGCGAGTCCTTTACGACCTAAGCGGATTAAATAACTCGATCAGCGACTAATCGGTGGAAATGTGTCGCGAAAGAAACGATAGGTTACCTAGATATATGCCGCTTCCGGCGTTTCCGTTCCTTGCTTCATGGTACCCGGACGCCAACAGGTTCACGTTCTCGCCATAGGACCACCCGAATTGCGTTTGAACCGCTGAAACGATTGCTTTCTCTTAAACAGTTCGTTAGCGCTTTCAGGTATAACTTACCCGTCAAAAATGGCACCTCCGAGAACCAGGCGGTCGAGTAGACAAAATCGGTAACGCCTAGATTCCTGGTCAGATTCAACGCTGGTACTGGGAATAGTATGTCGAAGCAAATGAAGGTACCGAACGTAACGCCAAAGTCGGTATCGAACGTGATGACTTCCGGAACAGGGGTGGTGTCGAAACGGTACTCCATGTACAGATTTACTTTGCGGTATCTGCGAACAACGAACGAATTGTGATGCAAAATTTCGATCGATGGTCGTTGATAAGCGTTTACCTAGCAACGACTTTTCCGGTTCGATCGAACACGACGTTGGTGTTGTGGTAGCTCACTCCATCCCGGCAAGTCTTACCATTGGGTGTGCACAATTCCTTCTCGGCGATGTTTACCACCACGTAGATGCGGTTCTGTCGTGCTGCGCACGAGAGACTCGTCAGAGTCTGTACAGAAAGTTGAATATTTAACGGGGACAAAGCTTTCACTTTACTCGATCTTCCAAGGGATTCGACGATCCCCAGACTTACCTCGCTGACGTTCGCGATTCTATTCTGGGTGCAGGGAACGTAGTTGTCCGTGGGGGATGGAATCACGGTTGCCCAGGAGTCCATCAGGGAACGATCGGGCATGTACAGCGACGTCAAGCCGTCCTCGGGAAACACGATGATATCGGCATCCTGTGAAACGTGAAAAGTCGACGTGCTTTCGACCGAAACCGGTTAATTTTCTTTTCTCGCTTACCTGTTTGCTCGCCTGTTCTATGTACTCGATGTAGGCTTGGCAATTGTCCCTCAACGTCAGCGTACCATTTTTGCCCCATTTGTGCGCCGGTGTAAATTCCACCACCGCTGCGGTGTAATAATTCGACGATCTTCGTTTAAAGCCTGACACCTGTTTCGCGTACGCAACGATGACATGCAACTTTCTCTTTTTCTAGCGATATCTCGTATCGAGTAAATGATGGTGCACTTACCGGGCGATAAGCCACGTGCGCAAGAACGAGCAGCAATCCGAGGCAGATCCACGTTCGGCGGGTCACAGCCATCGTTAGCGACTATCCTGCGAACGAAATTCGTATTACGATCGTTTAGAACAATTGATCTCGTTTGTTCATCCAGTGATAGTCAACGGTTCATCGAAGAATCGTGTTTGCGTAAATTAACGCGTGATTATGCTACGTTACGTAACATACGTTGATATCGTTTCGAATTGGTCCTTACAACACCCATATTTTATTTTCCTTAAACGAGATTAATTAATCGGCATTATTCGCGTTTCAGAGGCTCGACTGTTGGTCAATCGCGCAAACATTCGCGAAACACGATTTTGCTCCGACTCTGACGATTCGTAGCAATTGACTATATCTGTTAGTAGTCGACTCGACGCGATCGCTGCTTCACATACCGATGGTTATGGAGTGAAGCCAATCCAGAACTCGTGCCCGCGACACGACCGGTTATAGTTTTCTCTTGCTTTTTCCTCCTGTCGCGGTATTCCCCGTATTCGCGGTATCGCGTAAGCGCTTGACATTGATCCGATAGTTTTTCTCGAATGGTTCGTAACGAGCTCCCCTCTGCCGTACATTTGTCGCGGTCTTTAGATAATGCAAGTTCTCGAGTAATTTCAACGATTAACCAGTAAATAGTAAATATTTGCTTCGTACCTTGGCGAGGGATTCTCTCTGATCGAACGCAGCCTCTTTGTTCGAACAATAGTATTCGCACACCTTGTCCAGCCAAATGTTGGAGACACGTTGCACCGTCTGCCTTTATAAATAGTCGCGTTATCATACCTATTAACCATCAAGTTTGATCAAAGAAATGGCACGAGGGCACAGTTGCCAAATCGTTACTATGTTGTCACATGTATCTCAAGCAAGAAATATAACGTTAATCTAATCCATATGTGAGACAATACCAATGCAACTACAAAACTTTCTTATTTTTGTTTTCTTTTACACGAAGTCGATGATCGCTTTTATCTCATCTTTGTTCTATCGCGATTCGATTGGTCGCTGTCTGTCTCCCGAGAAATTGATTCGATCGAAACCGAATGACTCAAAGTCGCGTGAGTAATCTCGTTTCGCATTTCGCTCGCGGCTCCAGGTACGAGGGTCGCGTGATGCCGTGCATCGTGCACCGAGCTCGCGACGAATTAGTCCGGTTAAACGATTTTGATCCCATTTTGGCTGAGTCGTTCGGTTTTGCATGACATCGGCGTGTTCGAGGACCGTTATGAGAAAAGCGACAAATCACCCGTTGAACCGTCGACGAGGTTGTCGAAATCGTTGAACGATAGAAGAAGCGATCGAGTCGGTAAAAGGAGAAGGCATCTATGCGTATGGCGCGATCGGGTACGAAAGTCGAACGAACCGCGAAAAGTGACGCGCGATGGCTGCGGGACGAAAGGTTAGGATTTCCAAGGTGTGCCGTAGCGTGGAAAAGGTGGGGATCGCGAGCGCGCGATCGAGGGCGTCGCGAGCCCGTCTACCTATACGTATGGGGTGGAAAGCTGGCGGGGTCGCGACGGTGGGGGTTACCAGCCGCGAAGCAGCAGTGCGTCGCGACGCTGCCTGTCACGCGGTTGCTGCTTCTCTCCTATCTCGACCCCTTCTTTGCTCCTAAACGCGTTCCTCCTGACGCTTTCCTGCGCTTTCCTACGCTTTCCTAAGCTTTCCTCGATCGTCTTCGTGCTCGTCCTACCGCTCTCCTGCTCTTTTACCCTCTTACGCTCTCACCCTTTGACTCTCTATTCTCAGCCGTTGCACCCTCTGCAACCTTTCCTTCCCCTTTTCCTTTGTCCTCCTCCTCTGTTTCTCCTTCTTCTTCTTCTTCCGCTGCACTTTCTCTCGTTTTCCGCCTTTTCTCTCGCGTTCTCCAGATTCTTCTCGCGATCTGTTTCTCCCTCATTCCCCCCTCCCGGACTGATACACACGTGCGCTCATTGGTTCCCATCGTCCGCATCACCGTCTACCGTTTCTCCGTCGCCGTACCGGTCTTTGCTTTTTGATCGTGTCGCTTTCTTCCGTTCGTTTCCCCTTTCTTTCCTTTCGACAATAGTCTCCTCGATTTTCCTTCGATTTCTACCGACATGTTTGCCCTTCTTTTCCTCCCTTTTCGATCCTTGAAACTTTTCCGATTCGATCCGAAACTTTCTCTCGGATCCGAAGCCGTTTTCCAACGTCAGCCGTGGTTTCGCGAAGGACGAGTACCGTAGGCGCGAGTACGAAAAACGAACACGCAGGACACGTCTCGGAAGCGGAGCGAGTGCTTTTTTTTCAGTGAACGACGCGCGAAACCGCGTTTAGCGATTTGGGCTTTCTTAAACGGCCGAAATTTCTGATAGAACAATAACGACAGAGGACGAATCCTTTCCTCTGTTTCGGTGAGTAAATCGTTCCGTTCCCTTTCCCTCCTGTCCTTCTCCCGTCGCGAGTTAACTCGGCCGCAACAGGATCCGCGGAAGAGCAAGAAAGCGGCGAAGGATTCGACGCGGCACGATGTCCTTCGTCGTATCGATACTCCGTGTCGCGTTGCATTCTCGATTTTCTTTCGCAATCGTCGAATTCGAGATACGAACGTCCCTTCAGCGCGAAAGGCGCGTCTGAAAATTTGATACTCGAAACGGACGTCGAACGAAATTGGCTTGCCGTCGTTTCGACGGGCGTCTGAGGTCGCAGATCGGTCAAGGTTGTTCGTATTATCGGGTTACCGGGAATAGCGGCGATCGAGATGGGAGGAAGCGGGTCATCCACGAATAACGTTCGAGAGTACCGTTTGTTCGTCGCGAGTTAACTCGCGAAACTAGACGTACGTTTGTTCGTACCGCGAGTAATCCGTTTTGCTCGGAGCGACGCTTTCTTCGTTCCCTCGTGGCTTCGACACGTATTCGCGAACAGAAATTGAATTACGACTAGGAATATCGAGCACTCCGAACGGTAACACCGATTCCGGTCGGACGAAATCTCCACGAGGCGGTTGTTACATACGCGGATTTGCTTTTAAACGACGCGTACGTGGCGATGTTTACGCGGTGCGCGTACACCGTAAAAAGAGGAGAGAAAAGAAGCAAGTTCGCGTTACGAACACAAATAGCTGTTACGCGTGTTTTGAAAAATATTTACGTAAGCCGCGGACAGCGTTCGTCCGTACGTTTAACCTTTTCGAACGCGAAGCAAAGCGGAGAAGCTTAGTTTGTCCTATTTTTAAAGCTTTTCACTCGGCTGATAGTCAATTATAAATGCCGCATCTCCTTTCTTGCCTGACACCGAAATTTCGGAACCTCTTTCGCCTTTCACCGGGCGCGAGGCCTCTGAGCTGTTTCAGCCACGCGAAGATCCAACGAACGACGCTCGATTTTTCAGGGCGATTAAAAATATCGATTCGATCGGAAAACGCTCGGAAAAGAAGCAACGAAAGAAAGGAAGGAAGGAGAGAAAGAGGAAGGAAGGAAGAAAGTCCACCCCGTTTTCCGGCCCGAACGGATCATCGTTATTAATATAATAATCGATCGTTAACCGGATCAACGAGTTTGAACGTGCTTCGTCGAGCCTTCTCGATCGTCAGGATCGCTGGACAAAAAGGTGATCAACGAACGAGGGATTCGCAACAGCGCCGAGGGGGACAGCGTTGTTTCCCCAGGCGAGACTTTAATTAGATGGAACGCGCCCACCTATGCTCACGGTTCCGGAGCCGCATATAACTCTCTTGGAAAACCTGCTCTCGACTTATCGCGATTTCAAACGCTTTCCTCCTCTTTCTTCCCGCATATATAAGTTTTTGGCTGAAAATCTTTTCAATCGTGTAAACATTGTGGATCACTCTCGACGACTCTACGTCGTAGGCGGAAAAGTTCAGTTGTTTTCGTATTCGTTGCGTTAAGAAAGCGTACGCTCCGAGTGGAAGACGGCCGTATTTCGTAAAACGTACTCGATTACCAGATATCTAAGAGGTTGTTGATAAACCACGATATTAATGAAACTTCTCGCGTTGGCTCGTTGAGGAAAAAACAGACCGCCGGTAATCACGCGTTCGCGTGTTTCGGAACGCGAAAGTTGTCCCCTGGGAAGCCGGCTACGCCTTAGGTGGACGCGCGTAGATGGAAATCGCGTGTCTCTCGCTTCGAAGTTGGGAAACATGGAGCATGTTAACGAAGGGTGGAGCGGGCTATGGGGGGAAGGAAAACGGAAAAATGTCGAGGAAAGGTTACGAAGAAAGAGCGGAGAAGCGACGAAAGGGAAGGAAGAACGGATAAGGCTGGTATCGATTTTCGGTAGAAAAGTAGCGTGTAGCTAGCCGGATGCGATGGTTGCGCAAAGATTCTATGGTTCGTTGGTGATATCGCGTCGAGTCAATTGGTTCGGTCGTCCGCGTTCTTACGTACCGAAATTGGCGTCGATTTCGAGCGACGACGATCCGGTCGGTTCCAAAGCGGGATCGAATCGATCGCCGCGTTGCTTATTCTTGGCTCGTCCTCGACGACGAGCAACATCCGTTTCACGCAGAAAGCGGACCGGAGGAAGAGGGATTTATTTTTATCGCGAAGCGCGGAAACGCGTGCCGTTTTTCCGCTATAACGAACGTCGCATCGATTCGTAAAAGAAGAAACGCGATAACGTAGGAGAATTAACGAAAGAGAAGAAACGGTAAAAGCCCCTTGCTAACCCGTCGAGAACGATCGAGTTAGCAACGTTTCTCTGTTGAAGGTTGGAATGGAGCGAAAAGGCGTAATCTTGATGGCGGTGTTCGGAACGGTCGGAGGTCTGGCGATACTGGCGGTTCTCGGTTTAGCTGCTTGGCTGTATTTACGAGCGAAACAAAAGTCGAAACAACGGGGCGAAGATTTCGAGCAGCAGGACGAACAGGGGGACGGTTTTATCGTCGACCGAAACGGAAAACTGACGAAGAAAAACGGTTTCTTGAGTCTGAAGACTCCCTTGATCAACACGAAAGCTTTCGGGTAAGATTGAGCACGAGTAAATATCGCGGGAAATCTCGCGCGTTTAGGGGTAGTTTTGTTGGCGCGCGGTGGACAGTCTAGCCTGGCGCGTTCGCTCGGCAAAAATACCTACAAGATTTGGCCGGTAACGGCGTTCGCGACTTACCACCGGTCGTTCCTTATCGACCGACGAAGCGCTCGTGTAATAAATTGTTACCGACCATGGAAAATTTGCCGTTTCATCGAGCTGGCTTTGCCGGCGCGGCGCGTTGCGTGTCCGGCGACGAGCGAATAGTTTCGCCTCGAAAGAAAAACTAGGGAAAATCGTGTCGAAATGACGCAACGCGAAAAGATTCGTTTCGATTCGATGGCGTGTCACTCGTCCGTTTCGCCTGGATACGTGGCGTGTCGCGAAAGGAGCGACGTCGGGTGGAGGTCGCGTATCGCTTACGACGATTAACGTCCCTCGTTATCGTCGTC